GGGAGCGTTTTTCATCGCCATCCTGGAGAAGAGGTCGGAGATTAGAGTCAAGCCGGAGGAGAAGCCCGCCAGTGCTGTACAAACGCCCGTCCAAGTGGAAAATGCCGACACCTCGGCAACTGATGTCAAACCCGAGACAGCAACAAATGGAACAGTGGCAGCAGTCAACGAAGCGATCAACGGTGATTCCGGACCTCTGACAAAACGAAAACGAGAGGACGGTGATGAGCAGGATACCGCGCCGCTCAAGCGGGTTAAGAGCCAAGAGGGACTCGAGAACACCACGACTTCTTCAATCACTGGAAACAGTCAACCTTCCACGCGCCCTGCCCTACAACCAGAGCCTCAGCGACAACAAAACCCGAAGAGGAAAAACCGCGACCAACCGTTTGAGGAGCCATTTAAATATCTGTCACCCGCTCTTCCCGAACTCAAACAGATCCGCGACTTCTACAACCTCTCGCCCCAGTTCCCCGATGACCGTTATATGGTCCGCAACCCCGAAGGTACGCCTACAAAGAACATCTACTACACCAACAAACTCGCCAAGGAAATCCTCCAGGAGAATGAAGGAAAGGGAATCAAATTCGTCCATGCGGGTGTCAAGGTATACGTGAAGCAGGACGCACCGAGTCCGGAAGTGTGTCCGTGGCGGATCCAAACGGATGGGCTGAGGATGCTGCAAGCGTGGGTTGGGCCCGAGAGAATCGTCAAGCTGAGAAAGAAAGAGACGCTGCGGCAGTTATTGATCGAGATGTTTCCCAGATTCAACGGCGACGAAGGTAAAAAGCTGGGCGAGGTGGGAGAGCAAGTGCGCGATATGGGGATGGGATGCTGTGTGCTCATTGTGGAGCCGAGTGAGACCGACGCCTCCCAAACGGGCGGTTCGGGCGGCGAAGACCAGGGTGAAGGGTTGGAGGAGAGAATGGTGTTTCCGCTGTGGAAGTCGATCCAATCACTCAACCTAATGTTACCCAAGGAAGAAAGAAAGGCGATGCTCCTGCGTCTGTTTAACGACGACACACCGCTGGTGAATCGGAGCAAAGGCTGGAATGAGGCTCAGAAGCAGGACAAGGGCAACGAACCGCGTGGCAGGCTTGACGATGAAACGAAAGCTGGTGGAGATGGGAAGGGAGAAGAGATGGATCTAGACGACAGGCCCGAAGACACGGCCGACAACGAGCCTCCGAGGCGGAACAGCTCTTCTCCTGAACCGGAACCGGAACCCAAGTCTGACCCTGTTCCTTCTGAGCGTGTCGACGGCGGCGATGACGCACCTAAGCGCGACCTGGAGATGCAGGACGGGGCAGTAATTGGCGCTCTGGATGACGACGGCTTCGACGACGAGGAAGACGGCGGAGTGGCCATCCCCGCGAACGAGTCATGATCATGTTGTTAGATTATAGTTGGGGGCCAATATAACATTCGACAGACAATGCCAATGGGATGTCATCAGATGGGAAGAGATGAAAAACCAAAACCCCGGTCACCATGATTGCGTGTTTGAATTCCGGAATATGAGAATCCCATGTCGCACATCGCACACCGCACATCGTCCTTGCTCCAAATTTCAGGTAACCTACTCGCAAGTGGCCTGGGAGCCTTTGCGTGCCAAACTCCAGGGTCCAGGGAACTCATGTCGTGCACGAGTCGCGACAGGACAGAACAGAACAGGACGGGAATACCGACGATCAGGACGGGGCAGGGGGTACGTACAGGGCAAGTGAAAAATACGATTCACTAATTACAGATCTATATTCTCCAGATCTATATTCTTTGATTCCCGTGTCCTCACATCATGATTTGATTACATGTATAATATATATAATATATCTTCATATCTTCATAACTGCATGGTAGATATCCACATATCTATATATTTTGGATATCGAGATCCAGAACAATCGATATTGTGATCTCTCTCCCTCTCTCCTTTGTCAGCTCATATCCAGAAAAAATGATGTGGATTGCATGCTCGCTCATATCTGCCGTGGAGCTCGTCACGGTCGTTTGGTCGTTCGTTCGTCCGTTACCAGGACAATTGTGATTGGAAGCGAATGGCTCTTGAGATCCCTACAGATCAGGACCGATAGATCCCTTTGTCGTCTACCAGTTTGAGAGTAGGTGTGCCTTGATGGCCCCGGTCCCGTTCCTGGACCGCGTCGGGACTCCGGGACGTCGAGACGGCGTGCTCCTTGTCACGCAGTCTGAGGACGCTGTCTAACAAGACACTCAAGGTCCCCTTGTTGCGCTTCTCCCTGTAAATTCGTTCGTGCAGCTTCGTCCCGCTGACGAGGGAGAGGTCTGCCGGAGTTGCCCCGTTGTAGTCCCTGATGGTTGGATCGGCGCCGGCGTCGAGGAGGATGTCGATGACTTCGGGCCGCTTGCGCCACACGGCGGCGTGCAGTGCCGTGCCGCCGAACCGGCCAGCCCGTTCATTGAGGTTGGCGCCCGCATTCGCCAGACTTCTCACCGTCTCCGTCAGACCGTAGGAAGCCGCGTAGTAGAGTGGTCGGGCGGCCTCAATGTCCGTGTTCGGGGGTACGTAGCCATGCCACGAGTCAAAGAGGACCACCTGGAGCCAAAAGAGGAATTTGGGATTCGACCGCGTGGTCATGAGTCTGCGTATGAGAGGAACTAACTCGGCTTCGGCGCCCGAACTCTGTACGTGGAACGTCCAGTTTTGAGCCGCATATCGAAGCAGCGGAAAGTTGGAGAGTGTCCACATGAAATCTGGTCTGAACAATGGACCAGCCGAAAAGTCCTCGAGAAGAAGGTAGCGGATACAAGCCTCGGCGATAGTGCGGTGTGACGAGGGCGCTGGAATGAAAAACTGCGAGGTCGGATCAAGGCGCCCGGTGAGGAACTCGCGAACCGAATGATGGGCCAAGCGAGCGGTTTGCGAAACTGGATTATAGGCTATCAGGCTCCGGCAAATGTCGAGAACCTCGTTCGAATCATGAAGCTTAGAGTCGGGGTCTAGTTCGTCGAAGTCTGGCTCAAGAACAACAGCCTCAGCCAGTTCGGGCAAGGTAAGTGGTGTGGAGGCGTGAGCAAGCCACATCAGTGTTCGTGTGGCGAATGGGATATCTTCTCGAGCGATGCTGTCAACAATGCGCAGATACGAGCCTTCAAGGCTCACGGGAAGTTGAGTGAGGGCCCGCTTTACAGAAGCCACCGTCCTCAGCCTGGACATCTCGTCTAGCTGGCATTGTACCCAGCGGAACCTTGAAAAGGTCAGCAAACACCAATAGAAGACTTGGTTGGGCTATAATCCCGTATCACCACTTACATCCCGTTGGAGTCTGTTCGTAGTGTCGCTTCCACAAAATCCTTCATATCGTCGCGCATTCGCCCGAGTCGAGGGTCATCATGAATTCTCATCTTGATGTACACGCTGATATCTTGTTCAATTGCTTCTTCCGGAACAGGAATATCTCGAAACCCAGCAAGAGATCGACGCAGGTCCACCTCTGGTCGACTGGAAATGAAAACGCGTAGAGCGTGTTTTTCACCTCGCACCATCGAGGTCAGGAAATCGCATACTGCAGAGTAGTCCGACGACTCATCAAGACCGTCAATAACCACTGTTGCCGAGTCGGTAGTTTGTAGCAGTAGCTGGAGGAAGGACTTCAACTCGAGGAGGCTTGGTTGGCTCGGGGTGCCGAGACGACTTGAAGCTCGCCTGTAAGCGTCCATGATCTCGGAGGGCAGCGGTGAGATATTCGAACAGAACTGCTTGACAATGGCGCCAAAGAAGGTCTGTGGAGTCAGGCTTTCAATCGTGCTGGCATCGTAATAGAAATAGGCCAACAGAGAGTCAACGGGTTGTCTCTCGAGGAGATGATGGATGAGGAAAGTTGTAGCCACGGTCTTCCCACAGCCAGCGGCGCCATGCATCCAGAGTAAAGAAGATCTGGATTTGGACCAGTCGAGAAAGGCAGGGTCGTGGAGGAGCCAGTTGCATGTGTTCTTGCAATGAAGCTGGTATGCTCGCTGGAATTGGGCCTCATACTGATGCTCACACAGCCAGTGTAGGACATCCCTTCGCTCCTGATCTTCCTTGCTTGATTTTATCTCGGCCAGGGTCTCTGAGACGGCTTCTATGTTGGCGCTCTGGCTCATGAGTGCCTCCCTGTTTTGCCTTTGAGTAAGTCTCCTGCGCGATGAGCATGGTTGAACTTACACTGAGAGCGAGTTGAGGGACAGGGATAGTGAGTTCTTGTGTCTTTCAACCGCTGTAATGAGATCCTCAGTCTCATTCTTCCGAAGCGGCCAAAGAAGGCGATTGACTGCGCGCTTCCCCGGCGACTTGCTCGAATCGAGGGAGAACTTTTGCAGCTTCGTGGACACCTTTTCCAGCACAACCTGGCAGTTCTTCAATGTTGACTCCAGCTGGTACTCTGGAAGATCCATCTGTGCAGCAACCCCTCGAACACCCAACAAGATGCCGTTCAGGCTCGTGACTTCAGATACGAGTCGCCTTGCCTCATCTGGGGCGTTTGCTACCGCACAACCATAACAGTAGCATTGACTGATGATGCTGGCCGCCAGGCCAATAAGGCCAGCAACTCCGGTGCCGATCGAAAACGGGTCAGCCATTGTGGTGAAGTCCAAATCTCAAGGCCAAATAGTAGACGTGATGAGTTCGTCAACACATATGGATATATTCTGCTCACCAAGGCTCTTCATATACTCCACAGGGCTGGTTCTGAGGCACATCTGACAATAACAGACTTTAAGGGACATAGATAAGCCTTCTTTAGGGTATTTCAAATGGTGCTTATGGGCTTCTAAACGAGTTGAAGTAGAAATATGGCTTACACTGGAAACGACGTTTCAGCTCGCCAAGTGACCGTGGGGGCCAAAGGAGGCTGAGGAGGGCCAGTTGCACCGCCACACTTTGGCGAACAGACAAGATATGTATACAGGTATATAGTGACATAACCTCACCAGCTGGCCTTACGCGACCGCAGTATGCCGAACTGCATGAGCGTCGTTCAAGAGGCGTTGATGGCATGCGCTTGACTGTCCTTGTTCAAAGCACTGGGTAATTCGCCCGGTGCTAGCTGCCACGCCATGTCAATGGCTCCGCGAGGGTTGCCTTTGTTGTACAAAAACAGCCCCTGTAGGGCCGCCATGCTCGTCCGACTGCTTCTCCCAGGTCCTGGCGCTAAGACTCCTATCTCATGGAGTTTCTCAAAGAACATCTGCCTAAACACTCCTTTGGGATCCGCATCGTTGTAAAACCGAGCCCAGAGTTGCTCGATCTGATAAGTCGTTGCTTCACCGAGTCGCACTGTCATATCCACTCGGCCAGGCCGGACGAGAGCTTCGTCGAGGCGATCAACGTGGTTGGTCGTGAGAAAGATGATGCGTTCTTCGGCACTGCCCACACCATCCAAAGCGTTCAACAAGCCGGAGAACGTCACGTTGGCTCCTTGATACCCGTCGGCTTCGACTTGCCGCCGGTTTGCAAATGCCGCATCAACGTCCTCCAAAAGAACCAACGTCCGTTGGGGAATGACCGTCAAGAGGTGATTCAGCCTATCGTCCGTCAGACCACGCTCACTGAGATTAAGCATGGCGATGTCGTAATTCAAATGCCCCGCGAGGGCTTGAATGAACGATGATTTACCCGTTCCGGGTGGCCCATAAAGGAGATAGCCTCTTCGGTAAGGGATTCCTCGTTCGTAGTACCATTTGGCTGAAGAGAGGAAGTCCTGGACGTCGGCGACAATGCGTTCTTTGACGCCCTCGTCGAGAATCACGGATTCGAGAGGTCGTTTGCTGCGAGGGTGGCCGAACTTATCCCACTTTGTACCCCATGCGGTGTAAATAACAGTTTTACCTTCGACTGATTGAGTCGCGATATCATGAGCCTCTTTAAACAACGACTCAAAGACGTGCCGCTGAGAATACAGGGTGGTCAAGGTGACGGTCTCCCACGGTTTTCCATCCATCGAGAACTGCTTCGACTCGCGCTGGCGGTTGACCATGATCCATGCATTCCGATAGCGGATCACATGCCTACCAGGGCCTGGGATTAAGACAAAATTTGTGTGAATGGCACCATTAGGTAGTTCTCTTTTCTCCGTCTCAATTGCCAAATGCCGCATGCCAGGTGTGAGTCGCTGAAACAGGGACTCCAAAGCACCGGTATTTGTCTGCGATGCCTTCTGCGCCAATCGCCCTCGCTCATGTAACGTCATCCAGTAGAGAAACCAGGGGTAGGAGTCGTCTCGAACACTGATCTCAACGTCGACCAGAAGACGTCGTCGCATAAGGGCAGCTCCATGCCGAAGACCTCTTCGACCGAAGGTGAAGAGGGTACCGAGACCAGCAAGACCGAAGCCCTAGCAGAGCGTTAATTACATCCTCTATAATTGCGCCAGTACTCACGGCTGTGAAGAAGGGGTTGCTGAGCAATTGCGCGATCAGCCCGCCATCTGTAGAACTGCTCGTGCTTGCGACTTGACGCAAAAGGTCGGCTTTTTGAGAGGCCGCATCGGTCAAAGCCGGCGTTGAGAGTGATTTGTTTGTGTTCGAGGCGACCTGGACCAGTCCATTGTCGCTCTGCATTCCCTCGTCAAGACAGGTTGAGGGGGATACAACTTTGTCGAAGTTGGAAATGATGCATTGATGCATTCGTTACTTTGCGCAATAAACTCGGGAGGATATTTTGGCCGGTTCCGATATGCAGGTCCGGACCTGGACGGACTTAAGCCAATGATTGTTTCCCACCTGCATTGATGACGATCCTCCATTCTACAAAAATACGAGTCGCTTCTCCAGGCAGCAGGAAACCATGCAGAGACGGACTCGCTTCATATAATCCCTGTGTCGCTCCATGCGCTCCTTCTTCCGGCTGTTGTTCAGCAAGCGCACATCGTTCAAAGCACACACTGCTACATATCCACCTCCCTTACGCACCATGACGTCCTCCTCTACAGCGGCTCTCCTGTACGCAGCCACCATTGCCATCCCCTCGACAGCGTCGCCAAAACCCGACGACGAGATTACAAAGACCAAGGCGTGGCATGTCAAGAGTGGTGGCTTTGAAAACCCATGGCCGTCATGGCAGATGCACTCACTGCATACCCTGCTCTGGGGTCTCCTCCAGAGGAGGCTGACGGGCAAAGCGAACAAGCCTGATACAACCCCTCCGACCGTCCCTGTCCGTCCACCTACCTTTCTTCCTTCGCGCACCGCCAACAACTCTGGCTCTCTTAGAGCAACATGGCTCGGGCATGCCTGTTTCTATGTCGAGTTCCCCTCTGGCCTACGCGTCCTGTTCGACCCAGTCTTTACAGATCGATGCTCACCCTTTTCTTGGCTGGGCCCTAAGAGATATACGGAGTTGCCCTGTCAAATAAAGGACATTCCTGTCATTGACGCTGTTGTCATCTCGCATAACCACTACGATCATCTCTCGCACCCTACCGTCCTAGAAATCGCGAAACACAACCCGGAGTGTCACTTCTTTGTACCTCTAGGCAACAAGAAATGGTTCTCGGATAGCGGGATCGAGAAGTGCACTGAGCTAGACTGGTGGGATGAAGTGGATTTTACACTGACACCTTCCTCTCCAACGTCTACGGAAACCAAGCGCGCAAGCGTTTCCTCCACCGACGAGCCCAATTCAGCTTCCTCCTCAGACGCAATAACTGCACGCATCTCCTGCCTACCATGTCAACACATTTCGGCACGCTCCATTCACGACCGTGCTGCTACTCTATGGGCTTCATGGTCCGTCTCGTCAGGTTCCAAATCAGTGTATTTCGGCGGGGACACCGGTTATCGTACCGTCCCCAAGTCTTCCGAGGGCAAAGACGACTGGGCAGAGGAGTATTCAAAGCTACCTCATTGCCCGGCATTTGCAGATATCGGCCGTCTCAGAGGTCCGTTTGACCTGGGTCTCATTCCCATTGGGGCTTATATGCCACGGTGGATCATGAGTCCTATGCACGCCAATCCCCGGGATGCTGTGGAGATATTCAGGGATGTAAAGTGCAAGAGGGCGCTGGGAATACACTGGGGCACATGGGTGTTGACAGAGGAGGATGTACTGGAACCACCCCGGTTGCTGAAGGAGGCGTTGAAACACCATAAAATGGAAGAGACGGGAGTGTTTGATATATGTGACATTGGCGAGAGCCGGGAGTTTTGAGATTTTCGCAGCGAGATACACGGCCTCTGGTGTTGGATATGTGCAGGGTAAATGTAGTACCATTGTAAATGTGCTGAATGGGTGGATGGGATGTACGGCCAGGTGATTAGTTTGGGAGCGTTGGCATCAACAGGAGTAGTTCTAACGTTTTGGATAGTCAAAATATGGAACAGGTGTGCTGTATCTGACGAAGAGAGAGAGGAAGACACTATACTGGTTATGCATCAGACCTTCTATTATCCTTAAGTCTTACAAAGGTAGCAATACTTCAGGAGTTTGTCGTCGTGAGCATAAAGCCATCCATGGTCTGTGGCAGATATTGACGCCAGGTCCATCCAGGTTGAATATCATTGACCAGGGTGGGCACCTTTTATCCTTTGTGTCTCCACAACAAGCAGGACACAGTGCACGAGAGGGAGAGGGGAATGGAGGGTGAGGGCGTTCATACTATACTGTAGAGGGTTTTCGATGTTGCCTCATACTGCCCAAAGTGCCCATGGCGTGGAGGCTGGTCTTCATTCAACCCTACTGTATGTAGGTTCACTGTCCTCTTTTTCTCCAGGATTATTGGCTCCGCTGCCTACCTCGCCTTATTATCTTTCAGTTCCTTGAGGTATTGGACCGGGGGTTCTGTACCCTTGGAAATAGAGCAGACACGTTCGTCTGTCACGTATCATCGAGAAGAGGTAAGTACCAATCAACATTCTAAACGGGAAGGTTCACCGATCACATCTTGCCAAGACTTCGCTCGCTCGAGATCACTTCTACTTCCGCCATGCCGTGTGACAACTTAAGGACCAAACAGGAATGCGATAAACGCTGGGTAAACTCTCTGCAATGCATCGGTGGTCTGCGTTGGTATTGAAATGTGCGGGTGAGCTCCACTAGGATACCGTAGGGAAGATTTTAGGAATATAAAATAGACGCTCTAGCAGGTGCTTTTCGCAAAAGGACGGAACCTCGCTTCTCCACAAGTCATCTCTCACATTCCCTAAATCCATGATTTGCTTTTCGTTCTTAGGCCACTGTAGACACTATCACACTGATTAATAGTACAGGATATCATGTTATGCTGACTTTCCTCTTCCAGAACGCCATTGAAAGGACTGAACGGACAGGTCAAGCTGAACACCATCTAGTGCCACAACAACCCAGGCATATTGCTGCCCGCAGCCAGTAAATAAGAGACTGTTTCTGATAAGCCTCCATGGCACCATTTCCATGGGACAAGAAGTCTCCTAGTGCCAGTATCTGTGCCCGTCCCGTCTCCTCTTTCTTCCCTCTGCACACCTTCTCTTTCCGACAATCCCCCCAATGGTGTAAACCGAAACAAATTCTCCATACGGTTTCCTTGTGTCGTCGCATCTTCAGCCGCAGGCGAGGAAACAGTGGCAGGGCACTCCTGGTCCGACGGGCTTCGTTTATATCTCTCTCCCCTTAGTGTTCTTTTGTCTGGGGACTTTTCCTTTGCGACCTTTCGTTTCCTTTGGCTTCTTTTTCTCCGCGACGTCACTGGCATTGTCTTCATCCATGTTCGCATTTGCTGTCCCGGTGGTTGCTTGACCAGTATTCGAAGTATTTTGGCGGAGAGCGCCTATGTATCCTTCTGGGACCGCATCGAGATTGTTTCCTGCATTGACCTCATCCCCAGTCTCATCAGCTGCCTCGGGCCTAGGCGTGGCACGGGCTGGTGCGTCATCGCTATCTTCATCTCCGGTCTGAGTCTCTTCATATTTGACTGGTTTTGTCCTGCGGCCAGATTTGGCGCGCTCCCGTTGGGCGGCCACCTTGCGTTTGGGGTTGCGAGCTTCGAGAGCATCACTGGCCGGTTCAATGGTTTCCTTGACATCTTCATCTTCAGGACTATCCTTAGACGATGCCGCCTTTTTCCGCTGTCTTTCTCGTTTGACTGGCTTTGCAGGCTTCTCCTCCACTTCCTCAGACTTGACCTTCTTGGCGCGGGATCTTTTCGTCGGTTTCTCGGGTGCTTCTTCCTCACTATCTTCCTCCTTCACAGCGACTTTGCGTTTCCTCCCTCCAGCCTTCTTCGGTGGAGCTGATTGGGCAGGCTGAGCATCATCTTCCTCCTCTTTAATCTTGCGACGTGAGGTTTTTTTCTTGGCTGCCGGCGATTCTGGCAGGTCTTCTTCCTCGTCTGATAGAACCTTGGCTTTCTTACCTCGCTTCGCTTTGGGTTTGGATGGAGTCTGCTCATTCTCCGCAGCAATTTCCTCGTCATCACCAGCCTCCTTCTTTTTTGGGGTCCGTTTATTGATGCCTTTCATCCCTGGACGATTGAATTCAGGATCCTAGATTGAAGCTGTCAGTCCACCTCACGGGACATTGTAGAGACATGGAGTCTTACACCCTTCCAGTCTTCGTCAGCTACATGGCCATTCATCAGTGCATATTTGATCTTTTCACGCGATCCGTCATCGATCTCGTCATAGCCATCAATAATACGATCCAAGTCGGCATCAAGGTCGTCCAGATCCTCCAGAGGACCGACCTGATCTTGGAGCTTTTTGATTTGAGCAGGTGTGACGCAGCCCCTGGATTTAGACAGTGAGTTACAGCCAGCCAGGATCTCCGTACAGGAGCTTACCAATGCTTCCACATCCACGAGGAGTGTTCGTGAATTGTCACCAGCGTCCCCATCCTGAACTCGCCCTTTTCAATCTTGATGCCCGCTTTTTTGCATGCTGTATTTTGACAGCCTGCGCGGCCCGTTTTGGCCATTTCTGCATTTAATTAGATCAGCCTGAGATACGATATTTGAGGGAGCTGATGAATAGCGGATGGTTGCACGAGGTTGTTACTTCCAAAAGGCACAAACACTGTGCTATTTCGATGTTTTTTGAATGTGTAAGAAACGCATAAGCAACTCACCAAAGCGATATGTTGGGTCCGATGCCATGTTGAGCCGGAATATTGATGGCGATGTGAAACGGGGAGAGGCTATTAAGGCAGATGGGCCGAGCGGATGAAGTTGGAAAAGGGGATCAATGGAGCTAGCAGGTTTGAGACCGTGCAACTACGAGATTTTTGTAAGAGGAAAGGTGGTAGGAGAAAGAAATCTGATTGCGAATGGGGATGGCAGAGTTGGTTGATCGGCGAGAAAGAGACAATGGTTGTTAAAAAGTGAAGTTTCGTGTCAGGCAACTGAGAGCGACTCTGTGGAAAAATGGGTTGTCTGACAGATGACACATCATCATTATGACACGCAGCAGCTGCAGCTGTCACATCCTTCGTTTCTGTCAGACAAGCTGGTTGCAGAACACGAGCGCGACGCGTAAAGTGCTTTGACAATTCACTGTGGCCTCATGCGCCTTCATCTCAGTCTCGATTCCCTGTGATAACTTACCCTATCGCCAGTTCCCTCTCCAACCCAATCATGGCCAGAGTACAGCAAGATACTACGATATCAACTTGGCATCTTCAAAAAGAGAAATGCGGAAACCACTGCCACCAAGCATTGCCAAATGAAAAAGTTAAGATTTGATGTGGTGAGAAGATCCCAAATCGTCTTCGTGCCTTTTGTTACCATTCTGTTTATGCTATTTGAATACTTAAGACTTGTGTAAAAGTGCCCGCTCAAGATCAGAAGAAGAAGATGACGACGACGACGACGACGACGACGACGACGAATGACTGGTTACCCACGAGGCAATACCTCACACCGAACGCCTCCCTTGCTTATTATGCTAGTAATGCTCTCTGGCGAGGAAAGGAGAGCTTAAGAATGTTCAACTATGCCTGCTTTGTGGCTTTGCTCGTCCCATTCCCACTGGCGCTGCCGCTACCACTTGCTGCTTCGGCCTCCGAACTGTCGAGATGTCCTGCGGCATCCACGCCATGCAACACTCCCGCACGTTTCTCCACGTCTTCGTTCGGCTTGCCATAATGGGCATCGTACTCCTGTTGCAGCGATTAGCTAATGCGCAATATAGGGCTACAAAAGAGAGCCTCACATGTCGTCCGTCGTGGAAGAAGGCGTACGGGAGTTCACCATGGACCTCACCATCACCAATCAGAAGCTGGTCCTCGTTGTACCTCAGAGGGATTCTCAAGACGTATTTGATGAATAGACAGATGGCGCTGGTCCAGAAGAGATTCCATCCGATGACGAAGAGGAAGCCGACAATCTGGACCCAAACTTGTCGTCCGTTCCCATCAATTGCACCACCGGAAGGAGCAAGGGCAAAGGCGGCAGTGCCTTCGGAAGTAGCAAAGAGCCCAGTCAAGAATCCTCCGACAACGCCGCCAACCAAGTGTGTATGGAAATCTCCCACCACGTCATCAGAAAATTCGAGGAACCACTTCTGCTTGCCGAGGATGTTCATCGACATCCAAGGGATCACACCAGAACAAATCCCAATGATAATGGCACCCCACCCTGCGACGAACCCGGCGGCAGGCGTGATGGCAACCAGGCCAGTGATGATGCCTTGAATGGCTCCGATGACGGCTGGTTTCTTGAAAAATACGAGATCCATAATGGTCCAGGATAACATGCTCATTGCCGTGCACACGTTGGTATTGAGCACGGCAGCACCGGCATCGGGCGAAGCAGTATAAGGATCACCACCGTTGAAACCATTCCAACCTAGCCAGAGGAGCCCAACACCGACAAGGGCCAGCAGAACGTTGTTCGGGTGAAATTCGGTGCGGTCGCGAGGATGTCTAGGGCCAACCCAATATGCCAGGACCCATCCCGCTGTGCCGGATGAGACGTGAATGACATACCCTCCCGAATAATCCAACACGCCCATGTCGAACAAGAAGCCACCTCCCCAGATGCTGAATGCGCCCACAACGTAGCTGAGAGTCAGCCAAAGTGGCACAAAAGCCATCCATGCCAGGAAGTTCATTCTTGCCAGGGCTGCCCCTGCGATAAGAACAAGGGTGATGGCCGCGAAGACGAACTGGAAGTATACCATGGTGCTCATTGGATATGCTGCCGAGAGTCCGGCCTCTGGCAAGTACGCTTGCTTCAATTCGTAGTTCATTTCGACAGCAGGGCCAGGCACACCAACGAATGGCAACATCTGCTTGCCAAAGGCCGCTCGGTATGCATAAACCACCCAACAAATGAGGACCGCGGCAAAGGCGTACAGGACCATAAACGCTGAGTTGATGGCCCACTTCTTTTTCACCAATCCTGCGTACATGACCATCAGGCCTGGGACGGATTGGAGTCCGACGAGGGTCGCAGCCGTCAACTGCCAGGCGTTATCCCCATTGTTGAGCCAGTCAGGCGCGACGAGTGTGTCGGCATCCCAACGGCGCTGGGCGCGATAGCTGGCTGCATGTCCAGGCGACATCGAGGCCAACAGATTCGGGATTGATGTCAGCGGTGGAAGAGTTGCTTCTCTCAGCCGCGTTCTTGATTGTCAACCCTGACAAGGTGAGGGGAGGAGAGAAACTCACAGAGACGCGTTGAGGAGTGTGCAAAGGAGCAGGAGCGAGGATTTAAAAAGAATGCCAGCAACGCACGCGACGAAAAAGAAAAGGCGAGCTCTCTATCTCTCGAACCACCCATGCGACATACATGCTCTGTCTAGAGGACCCCTAGGCCGGGATTCAAGCGATATCTATCCCAGCAACACGTCATGATTCGCCCTGTGTGCCATTATTGCCTTTGGCGCACACACAAGCTTGAGTTACGAAAGGGATGTCGCCGTGTTGACGACCGATGCAGGCACAACGTGGCGTTGACAGCTGTGTTCTAGCCCGAGTGATAGGTCACAGGCATTCGCCTCCTTATCATCCATGACCCCGAGCAGAGCGACTACGCGATTGGGTTTGCAAGCAATTGCACTGATGAAAATGGGATATCGGGCCAAAGCAAAGGGAAGATGAATGCTGGGGTATTGCATCCAATAATGGGGAAGATGCTTATCAGTTCTTGGCTCTACGACGGACCCTGCGGGAAATGGGGCTGTACGAGCTAAACTGCGTTAAGCATTGCGAAGCATTGCGGCATCCCCACAAGGTTGGATCCTTGAGTGATGCAAATTGCTGGCTTATCTACGAAATGAATAACGATGCGCCCGCAACTCCACGTGGGGCTCCAAGGGCAAAAGCAAGCTTTGAGGATGAGACAAAAGGATTGGATATGGGCGTCGGGTGGACTGTGGGTTGGGGAATGTGGCCTGATGCCGTGAGCAGGTGCTGGCGCCGCTAGGTCTGGAGCATTCGGTGATGGTGCCTATTCACGTCAAAGAGCTGAATGTCAGCTGTGTTCTCTGCTGTTCGCGGTCTTCTAAAGACACCAACTTACAGGCAACGCGATGAACGGCCTCTGTGTAAGGTATGTTGGCGATGATATGTCCAGTGCTGACCTCTTCATCAGGACTTGGTTTGCTGTCCGCTGCAACAGCTCCTCCGTGGATTCCTCTCGATACCAGTTCGGGGTGATATGTGTTTTCCCAACTTTTAACGCTGCCCTCTAAGGCGTTCCAATGCTTTGTTGTGAAAGGACGCGCTCAGAAACCCCTGGGACAGGAGCATTCCTGCTTTCAAACTGCGCCGAATTCCGGACGTTCTTCTACTCGAATCCAGTGGCCAGCGTGAAAGTGTACCGAGAAAGCTCCATACCTTTGGAGATGCATTTGATTTCATAGGTCATCAAGACGTTGGATCGACATCAGCATCAAGCATGGGCCACGAATCTGCAGCGTAGAGCTGGCTTCACGCTGTCCAGAGGTTTCTCAGCCTTGTCGAAGATTTGAAGAATCTTCTCCCATTACGATGAAACGTAAGCACCCCTCGAGAGCTCCAATAGAGACACCTCGCGGAAAAAGCTCGCCCATGCATCGCGGCATCGAGGTTACATGAGTGCATCGCTGTTGTCCCACCCTTTGTCAAACCGCTACTGGGTAGTGCAGGAGTCTCCAAAGTCGAGATGCCCCGAACTGAGGGAGAGATCAAGTCGCTGGACTACTCTTTCTCGGGCTCTAAGGTGAGCATCGCATTTGCCATCCACTTCCGATGCTCTTGCTCATCTTGCCGCCCAAGGCCACTATGCCTTCCACCCTCTACGTGAGCTAGCACTATTTCTGACTGCGTTGAACGACTTCGGCTGTCTTTCAAACACAGTCTTTCTTTGAATCCTACTTTTACTTCTTATGGTGTTGAGTCTGAGGTTTCCCACTAACAAGAGGGATGGAGACGGACATCTGATCTGATTCACCCTGAATAGCCTTCATTAGCATTACGGCTTCAGTACATGAAACGGGGATTGGCAGCGGAACTGGGGATAGGCTGCTGGAAGAAGAGCAAACAACTCGGTATTTGCGACTGATTTGCCACAGGGCTACTACCCTTTCAGTGAGAGCAAGCTCCAAATTATGAAGACGGGCACACGGCAGACTTGCGCCTCCTCGATCTAAACATCATCTCGCGTACACTGGTGAGAGTCGAAGATGCTCTGACTTCAAGCGCCTGATTCTGTACGCCCCTTTATTAAAGGGAGTGTTTACTGTCAGGACCCGACAAATACTTGTTGAACCAATCAATCCCCTGCTTTGCCGCATCATCCATGGCCTTTTTGTCCTCGTCACTGCTCCAGTCGCTTCTCAAGGCAAATCCATGTACCTGATTCTTATAGACTTTCACCTCAGTGGGCACGCCGGTCTTTTCAAGCGCCTCTCTGAGCTGATCCACCGATTTCATGTCGAGCAGACTATCCTTTTCACCAACGGCGACACTGGTGGGCTTTGAAACCGGGCTGATGTCCGCAGGAATGGAGAGGAGGGATGGGTGACAGGCGTAGGCGGCATCAACGCCGCCGATCTGGCCCTCCTTGCGACCGTGGGCTTGGAGGATAGAGTATCGACCACCCCAGCAGAAACCGATCTGTTACCACGACCCCAAAAGATCAGCATTTTTGTCCACCATTTAGATGCGAGGCTGGTTGGCCGTTCATCTTGACAGAACCCCGGCAGATGCCATTTCGGAAAGAGAAGAACAGAAGCTTACCGTCCCGATCTTGTTCGTCCCCGGTATGGTCTTGACATGGTTGATAAATCCGCTGATGAGCGGCTCAGCAACAGATTCCCGATGCCTGGCCAACCACGGCCCAAGCGTGGCCATCACGTCGACAGTCTCTTTCGCCTTGTCCAGAAGCCCTTCCTGCTCTTTTTGCTTCAATGATGGCTCGATACTCTTGAGGAACTCGATGTCGATGGAATCACCATCATGAACATCTGGGATATAACAATAAAAGCCTGCATTCGCATACACATCCGCCAGGAGTCGCACGTTCTTGAATTTCCAGCCAAAGATATCAGTGATGAAGACTACGGTTTTGGAGGTGGATTTGTTGGCGGGCTCCGCGATGTATGTTGGCAGACCGCCAATCGTATCTTCACGGCCTTTGGGGGTGCCTTCGTGCACGACTCCGGAGAGGCAGCACGCACCCATTCCCGTGTGGGTCGACATGGTCGGAGCCTTCTAACTGGGAATTTGGATCGGATAAGGAGCTGGTGAGAATGGTGGACTACAGTGTCAGACAAGCTAATCTTTTGAACAGCTATGTTGGCGATACCGAGAGGGAGGGGTCGGAAGGGTGCGATATTCAATGCAATAAAGAGCTTGAACAATATTTGAGGAGATTCCCTCGGAACCCCCCACGGCTTGTTTCTTGAAGCCATGAGCTCATTGTTCCTGGCGTCGGGCGCCATCTCCGACAATGATTCGTGAACCGAAACTTCCCGAACTGGCGAAAGGAAGCTTTTTGAGGCCATTAGCGCGCGGGGTAGGGAGGCATCAGAGGAAAGTGATGATTTATTACACTGGCAATGGTTGACTGTGTATGCAACACCGTTGAACTCTACGGTGTGGTTTGCCAGGCACAATTCAGAAACCACGTACGTCTTGTCCAAGTCGCAGAGTGTTGACATACCCGTCCATATGACACCGGGCAGTTCTGATCAGCTTGGCACCAATGATGGCGCCATTCTCGATAGCGGCACCGACCTCCAGAGTGCCCGATGGATGGCCAATGATGGTATTGGAGTGATGCAGGTGCTTTGACATGGCATGTGGAAGAGTTCCCTCCATCTTACATGCCACGCCCAGGTTGAGGGCCAGTGTGACCGGGACGGCCTTATGTGCCTGTTCCATGGAAAGAGCCTGGCATGATATATCCAAGCCTTCACCTTTAGCAGGGAACAGCAAGACAATCTTGGGTATGCTGCTAATGTTGGGGTCTAAGCCCATCATCTCGGTGCCCCGTTTTCGTATCGCTTCTAGCTTTTCCAGGAGCTCTTGATTAGAATTCAGCTGTTCCGGTGTCGCCTCCGCGTTCCATCCCACGTCTCTGCCATCGATAAATACTCCGGGATTGCTGACATCTATCAAGGATGCTCGGACTGTCTGCTGCCCGATCTGAACGCTATCGATTGGATTGCCTGTAGGCAAGGCCTTGCCAGTTTTTGCGCCTTGTGGGTTCAGGAATGATAATGTAATCGTGGACCCTGTCCCAGGCACCCCATCGATGCTGCAGCTGCCGAGCTCTTGATATTCCCATTTGCCCTCATACCGGGTTGCTTGGAAGGTAGACTCGATGATTTTGGCCGTGTTGGTGTTTCGCATTCGCAAAGTGACGGTGGCATTGTCCCCATCCTCAACCCAGTGGCCGTACCTTTTGATATCGTCTTGACCAAGTCCAGAATTTAACGCAAAAGGCCCGACCACCGAGGTCAGGTTGCCGCAGTTGCCAGCCATGTCCAACTTACCGTCTTTAACACCAATTTGGAAGAAAGTATAGTCGATGTCGGCATCTGGCTGTGGTGATGGGCGAACGATCATGGCCTTGCTTAGCGATGAAATGCCACCGCCCATGCCATTCAGCTGTCTGCCATACGGATCGGGGGATCCCATGACCACTGCGAAAAAGTCCTCCATTCGTTTGATCGTGCCCTCTTCGAGTGGCTCTCCTGCGGATAGACCCCCAACGAACCATTGTGGCAGATCTCTTGAGTCGAGAAATACGCCCTTGGATGTGCCACCACGCCAGAACGACGCCTTGACGGCCCTGGGAAGCGATGTTGTCGCCATGGTTCTCTTCAGAATGTTTTTGCAGATGCGACCTGAAATTGCAGGGCGGCCCCAGAGCATCGTCAGCGCAGATTATGTTGCCAATTCCGGTGGTGGCTGGATGTACATCTTGGAGGTCGATAAGAGGTATTGTCCAGGACGTCGATGCCACTCTGCCCTGGAACTGGTGAAGTAGCTGCCCGCAAGCAACAACGCCCTGGCTGGGTAGACGGAGAACAGCCGCGCAGCCTCGTCACCGACGAGGCTGACCAATAACACTCGAATAAATTGGGGTGACACCTCGTTGTTATCTTTCACCCCGCATTCAATGTTACACATGGTGCACGCTTTGATGAGCCAGTGCGACCATCTTCAGGCGCCAGCCGGGAATATATACCCTGGTCACCCTGCACTTCTGTGCTGCAGGTCCTGACCAGAGGTTCTAACACTGCCACCCACCATCCTGACCACAATGGGCTCCGTCGAACCACCCCCACATCCACCGCAATTTCTTGTCATTGGGGCTGGATCTCGAGGCAATGCATATGCCCGTGCCGTCGAAGCCTCGACATCAGGCACGATTGCCGCCGTAGCGGAGGTTGACCCCTTCAAGCGCCAAGAATTTGGAAGACGTTACATTTGGGGAAGAGATGGACGACCTGCGGCACATCAGTCCTTTGGGCCATGGGAAGAGTGGGTGGCATGGGAGAAGAGACGCAGGGAAGACGCAGACAAGGCTGGAGGACCCGAGCCCGGCTACGTCCCTATAACTGGAGTCTTCATATGCACCCTGGACGAGACACATGCCCCTATAATCCGCGCCATTGCGCCGCTGAACCTCCACATCCTCTGCGAGAAACCTTTGGCCTTGTCTCTATCCGACTGTCTGTCTATCTCTTCGGCATTGTCTAAATATCCTCCGAAAGTGGTCTCGATCGGCCATGTGCTGCATTACTCCCCTCATAACATCCTCCTGCGCAGGCTGTTGACTCATGACCAGGTCATTGGCGAGATTGTCTCAATTGAACACACTGAGCCCGTCGGGTGGTGGCATTTCTCTCACTCTTATGTCCGTGGAAACTGGCGCCGCTCTACTCCAGAAGGTGTTGGTTCACTCCTCACCAAATCCGGCCACGATATCGACTTCATCCTGTGGCTGCTCTGTTCACCCAGTGCTCTGACCGGACCAAACCCCCATTTCCCCGCCATCATATCGAGCAATGGGGCCATAACGCATTTCCGCCCAGCGAGAAAGCCAAAGGCTGCAGGTGCGGCGACTAATTGCCTCTCCTGCCCTGCGGAACCAGATTGCATCTACTCTGCGAAGAAGCTCTACCGCGATCGGTGGCTCCGGCAGGAGAAAGATACTGGCTGGCCTCTCAAGATTGTGGTTCCCGAGATCGAGGATATTGTGTCAACAAAGGGGTGGAATGCGGCGGAAGAGCAACTGATGAAAAGGCTTTCAGAGGACTACGACAAAGCCACTACGCCTGACAATGTCGTTGCAGGGCGGAGTTGGTATGGCCGTTGCGTGTACGAAGCAGATAATGATGTGGTTGATGACCAGGTTGTGACAATGGAGTGGGAAGAAGATCCCGAACGCGGCCAGGATCTCGGTCGTGGGCCGAAGAGGGCTCTCTTCCACATGACTTATCCGACCCAGGCGCAATGCGAACGGCGAGGGTGGATTTATGGGATACTGGGCGAAATCAGCTACGACTCACACAAGATCACCGTGCACACGTTCGCCGACGGGAAAACGACTGTGCATGATATTCCCAAACAGGCACCAGAGGTGGAGAAGAGCCACGGCGGGGGTGATTGGGGTCTGGCTGGAGCCTTTGTCCAAGCTGTCCAAAACGTCAATGCTGGAACAATGGATATCGCCCAAGCACAAAGAGAACTGGTCGGGTGTGATCTGGAAGAGATCATATTGAGCCATGCGGTGGTGTTTGCAGCAGAAGAGGCCAGGAGGGAAAAGAAGGTTGTCAGATGGGCCGATTGGTGGACGAAGAACAGCTCGCTGGCTCCATGACGCTGGTCTCAATGAGCTGAGCATAGTTTGCAGGGATTGTCCAAAAATAACACGAGTTATGTTGGACCGAGCGCAGGGTATGAGTCTCAGCTCAAAATGGGATCAGGGTTAACAATGCAATCTCATCTGTCCAGAACAAAGGGAGGATGGCTCGGGCCCTGTCGCCCGGTGCGCGTCTCACATTCCAGCCCAGATTCTACATTTCCTTTTTGGGGAGCGGCTACAATGGACTTCTGCAAACGTCAAAGGCTCTTTGTGCGAGGCCATTGCAGTCTGGACGTTACGCTCTTCCTGATTTCTGCCGATTAACCGGTCGTTTCCCTTCACCAACGAGGTTGGAGGGAGCTGGACTTGGGATTCCTACACGGCTTGAAGCAATATGGCCTTGAACAAATTGTCGAGCACTTTCTTGCTGCTCGTCAGCCTTTCTGGTACGTCCGCCCGCAGGCTCTTTACGGCCAGCTCTTTCAATGGCATGTTGTAAGTCGAAGGACGATCGGCACACGATACTGACATGAATGGATAGCAACCTTGACCGGGGCGCAACTCATCCCTGCATCTCCACCGACACCCACGGTGCCGATCGCTTCAGCCTCGTCTTCATGGCTGACAACTACGAGTCCAATGTCTAATTCAGCCTACGCTCCCAGCCCAGCCGCCTGGTCGAAGGGGGCAAGCAAATTTCCGTCGTATTTTGGAGAAGCAAAGATCGCTCATGCAGCTCTGGGCGCGGCGGCGTTTCTGTTCTGCTTTCCTCTCGGCGGTATCATTGTCAAAGTGTGGCCGCATCGCCATATCGTGTGGATCCATGCGGCAATTCAGATGTTTGCATTGGCCGTGTTTGTGGCGTCGACGGGTCTAGGGATATGGATGGGTTTGAAAATCAATGCTGTGAGTAGAACAGATGTGTTGTATCTCCTGCTCATACGACATTTTACTGACACCCTACAGCTCGACCACTACCACTGCGTCATCGGCCTCGTCACCCTGGGCCTCCTGGGTCTCCAGCCTCTTATGAAGTTGCACTGGTTCCACGAAAAGATTCCCAAGGTGGTGCACTTTGTGCACATCCATCTCTGGCTCGGGCGTGTGTTGATCCTTCTCGGGATCGTGGACGGCGGCCTGGGTTTCCAATTTGCGGCCACCTTCAAGGGACCCCAGTGGGCAAGCGGGTGGAAGATTGCATATGGCGTGTGTGGTGCGCTGGTGTGGATCATCTACGTGAGCGTCGTGATTGTGTGGGTGGAATTGAAGAAGCCTGATGCGGGCATGACGAGGATTGCCGAGAGCGAGGAGTTGACGGCCTTGCATCAGGCCTGGGGACGAAGCGATGAGAGGCCAAAGACTGCCGATACTGTGGCGAGCACGGTGCACGACGTTGAGGTTGGGGAAGTGGAGCCGATTGAGCCGGTGAGACCAGCACGGCCTCGAGCGTTGTGAGGGAGTTTTGTTGCTGCATGACTGGTGCCGGTCTGGTCTTGATAGATGGAGCATGATATCTGCCACGAATGGAGTAGTAGACTTGTAGAATGGAGGTTTCAAGCGCAGGGATATGTATTCTCTTGATAGCCCGCGATGAGGCACAAGACTAGATTCTGTCTGACTTAACGTGCCCGACCTCTTTTGTGGTATGTATGATTTAACCCTGCTGAAGAGCCAGTTGGGCGTTGTCGACTGAGTGGGTGGGTAATACTGTCAAGACCATGCATCCATGCATCCATCTGTTCTACGTCATTATGTAGTTGTCGATGCCCTATGTACCACAGATGTACTTACTTTTTCCTTTTGTGAAATGAAATGGTTTTTAGTGTGGGATCGTAAACCCAGCCTCGTACGGTAAGTTGGTGGTGGCTAACTATATAGTCTGATAGTGTAGAGGATGTATGCGTGGTTATATAATCCATTACAATATCATCATATACCACACCTACTTCCTTGTTAGGAATCTTATACTCGGTATATTATTCCTATCAAGCTCGAGTATGTATATGATGTAAGTATATACGTTCTAGATTACAACCCAACACAACACAACAAAAGCATCCTATGAAAGTTATCTTGTCCTAGCTTGTCTCGAAGTACCCAGTACTTCGCTCCTGTTCTATTACTTTGGCAGAGGTAGAGGTAGAGGTAGACTCGGGGAGGAAGAGATATCGGACCAAAGGATCTTCGTTGCACACTCACCGTTAGACTCACGACTTACCCTCCACCTCCACGCTGTTGGAGGTCGAGATGACGACGGCTACCGTACCCGCCACCTCCAACAGACCAGAGCAGGAGTGAGTTGATCGAGCATAGAATAGTGTGGCCAAGGCACCAAGAATGCCGTTGCTATTACCTAAAGTACCTGGATACCTACAAGAGGGTAGAGGCACTCAAGCGTTACCCCTTTCTTCTTTCCCCAAGGCCAAGCAGCCTTCCCTTTCCCTTTCCAGGACTTTCTCCATGATCTTGACGCCTTCCCCTTGTCCAGAACCCTCGAAGCGTCTCTCGCGGATGGAAATGAGAACAGCCGGCTTAGCCTCGGCCTGGCTCAGCCCTGAGGCTTCTCCGAGCAGGCATTCCATGGCATACCATAACATACCATACCATCCCCTGCCATTGCTAGTGGAGGATGGAGTAAGGTAGCGTAGAGCAGGACAGGGGCGGAAGGACGGTTACGAATCCCACTTCCCTTCCCTTCCCCTGCCCATGCATGCCATGCCATGCCATGTGGCGGAACATCACAAAGGTATATGTGTATGTACCACACGTGCCGATGGTGGCATGCATGCATGCATGTCTTAACACACGCACGCTTGAGGCGGATGCATCCATGCAGCAAGCACGTAGCACCGGGATGAATACAAGGATGAGACTCGATCACGATCACGACCACGACCACGACCACGACCCGCCACACTGGTTCGTGAGATCTCGCTCGCTTATTGACTGTTACTGCCAGTTGATTTGACGCCGGTGCCAGGTCAACTCCACATGCGAAATACATGTTCGTGAAGGGGGTATCTCCCTTCCGTAGAGACCATGACCATGGTATTAAAGGACGAGGTATTAATTTACTATGTATACTAGTTCATCATGTACCTACGAGGCTGCTACTGGAGGTACCAAGGGTATGATTATCATTTTTGCACCGCACACTGTTGTCATTTTTGCTAGGGACTGTTCCCCCCTTTGTCGAATCGTGAGTTCCCAACTTTCAATTATTCAATTGCCAATCTGTCCTCCTCGCTCCTCTCCCCCATTCACCCATATCGAATTAGATCGTCACCTCCATCATCACCTCTCCCAAACTTACTGCTTGGCGTCGGTAGTCTCAATGTGCAGCTCCGTCACGCCCTTTTCGCCCATGGCCGTCGCGGTACTGGCGTCGACGTGCGCGACTTCATCACCGAAAATCTCACCGATCTCCTCGAGACTCAATTTCTTGGTCTGTGGTCCGGAATCAGTCACGCGTATCAGAGTCAAGGGCGCGAGAGACACTGTCTGTCCAGGGAGACAATGTCAATGCTTACCTCGGGGAAATAGAAAAACATAAAGACCACCATGACCGAGGTGACGGAGATGAAGACCAGGTAGTATCGCCAGCCGATGTTGGCGAAGCCGGCTGGAGCGCTGTGTGATGCAAATACAGCCAGTCAGTATACGTATCGCAATGAAATGTACAGGGGCAGGCGGATGGGAAGATGTAAAGGGTGAACTTACCCCTGAAGAATGGCCAGTGACGAGAGAAACAGGCCTGAGATGGACAATGCCAGCCCCTTCGCCCGGATGGGAGTTGGCCAGATCTCCGAAGCGTAGATGTATGTGGTCGCATCGCTGTGTTGTTGTTGTTAGCCTTGACTCCAAGTACTACGATCGGCAGAATCTTTGCGCTGGTACACGCCGGTGGGGCCTTACATGAAACTTGCGTAGAAACCGACAAACAAGAACAGGAAGAAGACGGCGGCATTGGTGGCGGCCTTGTTCTCGCCCTTGTCGAGCTGCGCGAGCGTGATGACCTCGCCCACAAGACAGAGCACGCAGCCGATAATTCCAATCACTGTCACAATTAGTCGATATCCCAGAGATTCATAAGGAGAGAGAGGGTGTAATTGCGTACGTAGCATCCTTACTCGGCCGACTCTATCCACGACCAGGCCGTTGAACCAGTTGCCAAAGGGCGAGAAAGTGATCCATCCACAGCTCAGGAGGAGTTGTTCGAGAGTATTGAACCCGAGACTCTTATACAGCTGCGACCCGTAGTCTAAACCATGGGCGTTAGATCCGTCATTCCGCGAAAGACACAGAATTTGGAAAAACATACTGTAAATGATCTGCGTGCCCGTGACCTGGGGAGCAACCATGGTCACAAACCCGACAATGAGCCTCTTGCGATAATGTGGGAGGCGGAAAATATCCCACAGGGACAGTTGCTGTTGTTTCTCAAATATGATCTGTTCGCGGAGGACGGCAAAGTCGGCTCTGAGAGCGGCTTCGTCGCTCAAGAAGGCGTCGGACGACTCGGCGCGCACGCGTTTGAAGGATTCGAATGCCTCTTCGTAGCGATCGTGGTCCAGCACTGTTTGCGATTCATCAGTATAGGGATCACACCAGCAACAATAAGTAACATACGCCATCGAGGAGATTCGGGCAGGAACAAAACTCCCGCAGAAAGCACGGCAGGCCAAAGTGCCTGGATAGCCAGGGGGAGTCTCCATTGTGCTCCGCCAGCATCGACAAAGTAGAACCCTAACCCAACCCAGCTGGCGGCCGAGTAGCCAACACACAGCATCACACCGTGCATGGCGACCAGGAAGCCTCGAATCTTTGGGGGAGCAATCTCGCTCTGGTAGAGAGGCACAAGGGTGACGAGAGCCCCTGTCCGAGAAGATTAGTCTCCTTCATTGAGGAACGAACAAAAGGGCAACTAACCAATACCGACACCAGTGAGAAACCGTGCAAAGATGTACATTCCAATGTTGACGCTGCCAGCCTGGAGACCTCCGCCTACGGTAGTGACCAATCCTGCATAGAAGAGTGCTTTGCGGCGACCCAACCAGTCAGCCGACTTCAGACACGACAATGTGCCAAAGAAGCCGCCGGTCTGGAAAAGACCAAAGATGGACCCGGTCAGATCGGTGGCATTGGACCGAGTATCAAGGTCAAAGTAGGCGATAAAGGAGGGCTGTGCCAGGGTCGTGCTGATGATGGAGGCACAGTAACCGTAGGTTGTGCTCCCCAGGGCGACGAAGATGACGATCTTTGATAGAGTGAGTATATGGTCCCAGATGTCGGAAAGCGGTATCAACTTACCAACAGACGAAGTGTCGCTGCGGAAAGAGCCATTTTGCTTTGCGCAAGGACCGTTCAGAGGTATCCACGAGGAGAACTTGAATGACCCTTGACAGGGAAGATCACGTCCAAATGGATGCAATTATATAACCCTGCAGGAGGCTAGAGAGCAAATTGCCACCTTTCAGGATTTGCACCTGTATACCCCAGAGTGGAGACTGAGACAGGCATCGCATCAAGAGACTCGGTTCCATGCAGACTCCCTCTAACCTGGCCAGAGAAGATCAAACCAGGTCCAGGACGACTTCTTGCCATCATGTTTGGAGGATGTTTGGGGAACCTTGGGGAAAGGCAGTGATCTCAAGAGAGTTTGCCAACCAAAATGAGGTGTTGTGAACCAAGACGTGTCGTTGGAAAGGCCATGGCTCGTATCGAGCAGCAATAGGAGACCCCGCGGGGACACCCTTGGAGACGCGTGATCTTTGGAGACACCACAGCTAGGAGAAGCCACGAGCGCGGTTGGATGTTCCGCCCAAGTCTAGGATACGAGTGGTGTTGTAATGGGTGGTGTGGTGATGTTGGTCAAGCGAACCTGTTGTTGTGCTTGGTATAGCCGAGAGCGTCGAGGTCGGAGGTAAAAGGTAATAGCAATGGCGAGAGGATCCATTTTCTCGGCGTTAGTCCTTCACAAGCACCAACTGGAGGGCTGGACGGAGGAGACGATCCGAGGGTCAAGGCTGTGCGAGGTTCTTGTACCATCCAAGCATCCCAACAAGAGCCCAATCTGCGCCGTTTGTGCTCTAGCGAACCAGCTCTTTGGGTGTCGTGGGGTTGACCCTGTCCCTGACACTGAGACTGCTGACTCCGCTCCCCTCTCTTAACGACAGTCCATCCCGAATCGAGGTTGGTGACTTTTGTGGGCGACTCCAGCCTTGTATGGAGGTGGAGGTGGAGGAAGACGATGGACGAGAGTTTCTCTTGGCCTGACGACCGAGCGGAGAACCGAGGGACTTGATCCAAAAGACCAAATAAAGTAACACGAGTAACGAGAGGATTGGCTGTGACTGGAGCACTTGTCGCTGTTTCCCCAATGTTCCCCAAGATCTGTGTGCTGGTGGTGTTGTGATGTTGACCGAGGGCGTGCGGTCCATGATGGCGATGTCTGAGGAGATGAGGAGGTCAAATCCCAGATTCGAGTTCGTGTCTGCGCCCAAGTGAACAGATTGAACGACACAGAACCGCTAGGACCAGGACCACCGAATCCTCCGAACCTCAGAGCCTCATCATGTCCTTCCCGGTCGCAGGCAAGAATGCAATCGTCACAGGCGGCGCATCAGGTACAACACGATCCAAACCTCCCTGCGCATCCAAGGACCCAAACTGACCCTTGAGTCGTGATTCCGCAGGCATCAACCTCGCCTTCGTCAAGCTCCTCGTCAGCAAAGGGGCCAATGTCATCGTGGGCGATCTTCAAGAGTCTACCGCGTTAAAGGAACTCGCCAAAGAGCCACGCCCGACGAAGCTGTTGTTCCAAAAGACCGACGTGTCCAACTGGAGCGAGCTCGAGGCTCTGTTCAAACGGGCACAGACCGAACTCGGTGCTCTCGATATTGTGTGCAATGGTGCTGGCGTCTTTGAACCGGTGTGTCTCCAGCCACGACCCCTTTCTTCCCTGACCCCTCCTCTTCAACTCTGTCTCTCCTCTAACCGTGTCTTGCCAGTCATGGTCCAACTTTTGGACCGACACAGAGACAGAGAGTTACAAGTCCCTGGACATCAACCTCGGGGCCCTCATCAAAGGCACGCGCCTGGCCATCCGCGACCAAATCACCCGCTCCAAGGGCCGCAAAGCCGGCGGCACGGTCGGCGTGATCCTCAACATCTCCTCCCTGGCCGCACAACGCATGCTGTTCAACCAGCCCATATACAGTGCGGCAAAATCGGGCGTGTCGGCCATCGTAAGATCTCTCGCTCCCTTACACGAGGAGTTTGGCATCAAAGTGGTCGCCGTCGCCCCGGGGATGGTGTACACGCCGCTGTGGTCCGATCACCCGGAGAAGCTCAAGGCGGCGACGGAAAAGGACGTCTGGATCACCCCCGAGGAGCAGGCGGCCGTCATGCTGGAGCTGGTCGAGAACGGCGATTACGAGGGCGGCACCGTCTTGGAGACGCTGAAGAATTTTACCCGGAGGGTCTACATTGACAGTCCGATGCCCGAGGGGCCCGGCTCGACCATTTCTAACCTGGATTCAATCACGCAGGACACCATTGCGCTGTTGGAGGCGGAGCGGACGGGCGGGAAGGTGAAGAATGGCGTGTAGAGGAAGGCCTTCAACAGCAGAAGCAGATGGATGGAAATATGACCCCAGACATGAGAAATAGAAATGTTTCTTGTTCTTGTCCTGTTCCGTGCCCGTGAAAATCATGAGCACGCCCTATTTGTTCCTCTCCTCTTAGCTGAAAAATGGACAAAGTGCCAGCAACGCCGACCCCCGTATGCTCGAATGTAGCAGATGACCACGCCCAAACGACATTGGGGGACTTGTGTAAGCCGACAGAAATGGATCCGCACCAACGCCCAACTAATGAAAACAGTGCCGTCCCAGGATCGTCCGTATACATAGCGTTGTGAGGAAATGGTAGCAAGTGTGTATCGGTGAGCTGACACACTCGCCGTAATTCTCATCAATGCAGCCATGACCTTGAGCAGGTCATAGCATGACCCATTCACGAGGTCGTTGTGGTCCTCTTCGCGAAATCTCCACCTGTTTTACGTGCGATCCTTCGCAGTTTCGTAGTTTTTTTTCAATCCTGTCATAATCCCGTATCGTATATCTCTTTCCCTTCCCAGGCCGGAACTTGACCACCCAAGGCATCAAACTCGTTCGCTTTCACTGACAGACCACTCGTTCTTGATGCGGATCGCATTCGGCTCGTGTCCCTGGTCGAAGCTGGCCGTGTCGCCTCGGCTCACCTCGCTCTGCGCCTTGACTACCTGCGACGTCTCGACAACGCTGTCGTGTCGTATGTACGACGTCCTCGGGGGGTATGGGTTGGATTCGCGATTGTAACGCGATGAGGAAAGTAGGAATGGGAACATCCAGTTGATGACGGGTCTCATGGCGGGGATACACGCGCACATGATGCCGACGTTGAGCTCGGCGGCTGACCAGGTCGCAGCGCCGACGTTGTCGTAGGTGAGGTCGGTCGAGATGCTTGCGATATACAGGGCGTGGAGACGGAGCATGCCCGTGATACATCCGCTGTGGTGGGGTGTCAGCCGGACAAAGAATCTGCCATTGTCAAGGACTGGGACTGGTTCATGCGTACAACCCACCCAACGAGAACACCACGATCAAGGTGAACTTCTGCTTCCTTGGGAGTCTCAGGCTCTTCAGCACGGGCATCGGGAGCACCCAGACCGCCAGGTCCGTGACGATGTTGAAGCCGGACAAGCTGAACCAAAAGGCCATGAGGTCAATGCAGTGGCCGCCTTTGATGGTCATGTCCCAGAAAAAGGCAACAGGCCAGCAGGAGAAGCAAGAGGTGAGGATGAATGCTACCCCAGCGACACATATGGAAATGATGAGAACCCAGGCGGCAAGACGGTAACGCCTGTCCACAAAGAATCTCAAGTACTGGTAGAGGATTGAGTCCTTGACCAAAAACAACCCCAAGTTATAGAGGATGATGCTCGCGTAGAGTAGCTGCCATCGGTTGTTAGCAGGATACGAGCGGTTGCCCATGGAATGGATCAAGCTGGATGGATACCTTTGATAGAGTCTCGTTGTCTTCTTCGCTGACCGTATCGGCATGTCGACCCAAACCGCAATTTTTCTCTGAGGAAAAACAAGTAATGTCAGTTGAGGAGTTTCCCGGAGACACCTTCAAGTACTCACGAAGCACAATCGTCACCGTGAGACCAAATGAAAGGACCAAGGCGAAGATGATCAAATAATCCTCAGGCCCAGCCTGGTGGACGACCATAAAGCGAGAAATGCACCGGAGCACGATGAAGACAAACGCGAATGCATTGAAGACGGCAGCTGTCACCACAGCGTGCAAACCACGTTCGAGTCCCATCCTGCATGGCAATGTGCGAGACGGCAATGCAAATCAAGGGACGCGACCCCAGCTTGACAATCAGCAAGTTCAGCCGAAGTCGACAAATGTGGGAGAGCAAGGGAAAGATATGGACTGGAAAAACGAGCGCCGCGAGGGATCTGAATGCGCAAAGACAACCTGGAAACAATGCATGTACAGAAGGTAAGAATTCCCACAATGTTCCAGCGCTGCAAGACAGCTCGTCCCCAAGCCGCCGGCCGTGCTAGCACACTGGCTAAGAGCTTGCCAGTTTAGCACAGACTCATTGACAGGGTCATGGCTGGTGACGCTGGTCTATGGCCAGAACCAAAAGTGAGAAACCCGGGGTAATGAGTCTCAGGAGCAGAAGGAATACGGGAGGACCACGGCTGCTTAGATATTTGCACCAAACTTCCCCGGATTAGGCTTGCTGCTATACGCAAGGCAAGTCTCCGAGGAGGTGGCCAGCTCGAGGCTCAGAGATTGGTGGAGCAGAATGCTGAACCCATAGCAAGACCGGTAGATCTAATTATCGGTGTGGAATACCAGCATCCGGACAAGTTGAGGCTCACCACTGTCAAGGGTCTGTTCGATAGTTAGACAGGTCGTGCGGGTCAACAGCAGGGATGCCTACCGCTACTCGTGCAAGGAACCTCATGCTCTAGCCCCAGTAGACTCTTCTTGGTCTTCATGGATGTGTAAAGGTGGAGCCAACGGCGGTTATATTCGTAGCCATATGTACGAAAGGACCAGGGTCCAGAGACCAAAGGCATGAGTCGTACTCGCCCGATGAACAAAGGAACAATCTTCCTGCAGTCCAGTTGACGAAAGTGCAGAGACTGAATGCAGAACTGCCGTCTAGACGGAACGAGACGACATGAGAAATCTTGGAAGCCCATCCTTGCTGATGGATCTCCGCCCAAGTCGACCTATTGATCCTACCGCAAAACAGAGTCGAGACATGCATCAGCAAAGACAAATAACGGCCCCGTGGGTCGAGTGATCGCCATGGCTTCCTTCCTGCAAGGCACGCAAGAATCCCAATTTGACTTTGCTCGCTCCAACGGGATCAATGGGTCCATCTAGAGAAACAAGGTGCCGGGAAAGGTGCTCTTGCTAATCTCCTGCTCACTCCTCGTCGAGAAGGCGGTGCTCGGAAAGTCAGCCTGGCGTTAACGGTGGTTAGACAGGTCTGAGAGAGGACCCAAGGATTTGTACGGTATCCTAATGCAAACTTGGTATACTGGTACTGTCAATCTGTTGGATCCGTCCCTCGGATGGCGCCAGACGATGATACCAATGCCGAAGGAGAACCTCTTGGGGGTTTGATCTGCTCGTATCAATTGGTGCTGTTCCTCAGCTACTGCACCGCTAGCTAGGTGCTAGAGTACCAAGTACAAGGAGGAGGTAGTTTCGAGGGAGGCTCAGTTGTGAGCATCCTATTAGGGGACCTCATTCCCTCGACATTCCCTGTTTCGAAGCGCGGCCTTGAGAATGCAGAGGGCGCTATTCTCGGAATCATGCCGAAGTCTTCTTCGTCTGCTTTTTCGGGAAACCGGGTCTCAATGGGGCCGGTCTCAGTGACGACTCCTGCTTCCTGTTCGAGGCAGAGCTGGGACTCTCCTTTCTTCCTTTCCTGCACAAGCGGGAGGTGTTTCCGTTTACTAGCTGCCGTTTGTCCCAAACTCGGCCGTGTTAGAGCCTCAGCACTGGTGGGTCGTTCGGGGCAATGAAATGCTTGTCGCGGGCCGTTGTAGGATCTGGGCCGCCGGTGGATTTGCAGCTCTCCTCCTCATGGTACGCTGCAGTATACTCGTAGTCGCCGGCTTCACCCTTTTCCAGAATGCTTCTGCTCCTTGGGGACAAGTCGGTCGCAAGGAGTGTTGCACCATCGGCGCAGGGATGAACTGTTTCAAGTGTCGTCCAGAATCGGAACCGCAAGGCGAACAAACCCAGTGGCTCTCGGGAGAGACGTTGCCTTGCCCATTCCGCCGTCCATGTCCAATATTGTCCCATCCAAATCATTTCATTAAACATGTATCAAGTACTCCTGCTTCAAACCAAGACTCTCTTCAATGTACAGGCATGACTACATCAAACGCTCCCGTGCCGATATTGCCTCTCCTTCCTGCCACAATGCGTGCACTGGGTCCAAGTAAGGGATCCCGTTCGCCGAACAATACTGCATCCTTGAGGAATCCCATGACCGTCTCGAAGCTCATCTTTGCCAACACACTTCCTCCTTCTTTTACAAGACCGTGCCGGCTGAAAGGTTGATAGCTGCCGGAATGCGTCATAGCATCGCCGATCAGACTCAAGTGCCGTGTATCTACACCGATCCCGTGCCCTTTGAACACACCGTCTATTTCCTTAACAATCGTCGCCCGCGCAGCTTCGACACCATAGTACTTCAGCATATCGTGAACTGAGTTGGTGTAGATGGAATGCGGGTAGATCTGGTCCTGGTAGTCGCGCATCGCGAGTAAGTTGACCCCTTCGGTGGTGATCATTGGTTGTTTGACGATCTCCTCCTTGTTTGTCTCTGGATTAATGCGCCTGACCGGTCTGCCATCGGGCCCGTGAACTTCCTCCATGAACTGTGTGCAAACACCGAGCCCAGGGATCGACTGAATGACTGATGTGTGCGCGCACTTTTCGAGCAGAGGAAGGAGAAGTAGTTTCGGCGTTCTGGAGCTGTAACTGAGGACAATGCGACAGGATTTGCCCTGGTTTCTTGCGAAGATGAAACGTTTGAGGTGGTCTAGTTGACTCTTTAGCTGGTTGACTCGCGCCTCATCTGCCGAATCTTCAGCGTCGTCTCCTTCGTCGTCAGGGTCTAATTCTCGAAGGTTTTGCGCGTTCTTAGATTTCGCTGTTTGGCGAGCGCGGAGTGTATTTTCCTCCTCGTCCATATCGCCATTGTCGTCACTCATCCCTTCGTCGTCTGACTCCCGTGCTATGGCATCTTCCTCCTCGTCGGGCTCGTCGAACGTGTTCTCTCTTCTACGTCTGGCCGCCATGTCTTTGGCATCGTCGGGGTCGGCTTCTTCATCAATGTCGTCTTCGCCACCTTCATTTTCAGTAGCTCTTGGACCTCTTGTCCTGGCTTCCTCGGAGACACCTACCGACGTGCCAACGTTTGGAACAGCTGCCGTAACCTCTGAGCGGTCTGCCTCTTTGGCCTTCTTCTTGAGTTCGGCTTTAATCATCTTATCCAGTCTAGGTAGGAACATCGTCTCGAAGCATCGTTGGACGTCTACCCTTTTAATGGCATATTCCTCCTCGTATTCCTCTGGGTCATATAGGTCTATTCGAATGTCGTAGATTCTTTCATTCTCATGTCCTGCGCCACCGCCAGTCCTCTCGGTGACCGACATGTCGTCAATGACATAGGAGAGTGGCAAGCGGCTGATGCTTTTAGCGAAGCGTTCTCCTTCAGCAATGTTCAACTCTTCGATGGGCTTGAGTGTCATTGTTGGGGTCATGATTTTGGCGCTGGCAGTCATGATAATCTCCCGCAGTCGAGGAATACCGAGGGTGACGTTCTTTGCTGAGTGGCCGGCCAAGTGGAAAGTATTCAATGTCATCTGGGTCGAAGGTTCTCCCACAGATTGTGCTGCGACGACCCCGACTGCCTCCCCGGCATCGACAATGGACTTCATGTACTTCAGGTTCATAACGGCTCGAAACGTCTTCTTGCTGAGCACACCGGTAGGGTTCGTCTTTTTGTCCTTGATCAATCTATTCGGGTCTTCCTTGACATAGTCATTCAACGCCATGGCAAATGACTCGGAAGTGCTTCCTAAATGGCTTGCGGGGCTGAAAGAAGCAGTCAATGGATCCTTCTGCTTGGACTTCTTCAGTGATCTCAGAATCTTCTTCTGTTCCTCATCCAACTCTGATAGCGGCAGTTTGTGAATCACCTCTTCTGCATTCATAAGTGTTGCAACCGAGTGGTGATTTTCAGCAAGGAAAGTAAACTCTTTCAGATGCTTCTGCTTGGTGACTTCGAGTCCATCTTCTCCGTACAGGAACTGAATGATACTTCCGTTTGAACTTTCGCGTACGGACGTGTCGTACTCGGTTCGAAGACCTTCAAGGCCCTTGACGATGCAGCGCTGCAGGTACCCGGATTTGGACGTTTTTACAGCGGTATCAATCAAGCCCTCTCTGCCAGACATGGCGTGGAAGTAGTATTCTTGTGGTTTGATACCCGTTAAGAATCGTCCTGACACATACCCACCAGCAGCTGGCTCCGTCTCAAAGGCTCGGAAGGACGGCAGCGTCTTGCCACTGACCATCACAGGAACTCTGCGCCCTTCCAGAACCTGCTGACCTAGATTGCAAGAGATGAGATTTGCATTGACACTCGAGCCTTTGGCTCCAGAGATCGTCATTGCTTGCATCTGATTCCGAGGGAATGGCTTTCGAAGCCCAGCAGGCAGGCAGGCTTTTGAGACAGCGTCCGTGATCGATTTCACTTTGGCCTTGTAAACCTGGTCCAAACCATTGAGCTGCTCATCGTTACGAAGTACGCTTTCAAGGCGACTAAGCAGTTCGGGGTTTTCTTGGTCGACCTCGCCGGACTTCAATGTCACATACTCGGCTGAAGCCTCCAGACCCATTTGTTTCGCCTTATTCAACTCTTGTCGCCGTTCCTTGTCGCCTTCAGGTGTCAGATAGAGGTCGTCCATTCCACAGGTCCAGGCCCTCTCATTGAGGAATCTTGTGAGAAGTCGGCCGAGGATGCTCATTAGTTTGCCCGCAGTGATATGTCCATAGACCTCGTGTACGGAATGGATCAGACCACCAGCGCTGGGGCCGAGTTGGCTCTTGTCAAGAATTCCGCAAAGGTGCTCGCCGTCTTTGAAAATCACCACTTGTTCCGTGTCTCTGAATACCACCTTACTCCTGCTAACAGTCCATTGCTCAGGTTCCTCAGACGTCTTTTCGCCCCACGAGTCTGACGATGTAGATGATTTGCTCGTGAGGTTGATGCCACGGAATCTTTCAGGAGTGATATTTTTCAATACTGTCGTGATCACTTGCTTGCCGGTCCATAGTATTTTCGGCTTTAACACCGCCGGCGCCACCATTTGGATCTTGTCAAACACGGTATTGTAATCTTCCGGCCTGAGACAGCTATAAAGTAACTGTTGGTATTGGTCTCGATCGAAGAAAACGTCCCGGCTGGTAAATTGAACACCCATGGATATATGGTCTTGAATCAACCCACGTAAGGGTTTGCCCGCAGTTGCAGACAGATACTGGTGATCCGTGTCCGCGATTTGAAGAGCTTCGGTTCGAGCAAGCTCATTCTGAGGAAAATGCATGTTCATCTCATCACCGTCGAAGTCAGCATTGTAAGTGTTACAGTTCGCATAATGCATACGAATGGTCTTTTGGTTCGTTAGCACGCGTGCACGGTGACCCATCATGGATGGCTTGTGCAGAGTCGGCTGACGATTCATGATAACCACGTCGCCTGTTTGAAGGTGCCGGTACACCTTTTTGCCGTTCTCCCCCTTCGCTTCGGGGGCGGTCGAAGTCATCAATTGCTTTGCGAGGGCTCTTCTTTGTTCAATGGTCTTGCGCTTCAGGCTGAGAACCATTCCGTTCTCATTCTCAATAGCTGCGGCCCCGGGGTATTTTTCAGTACCATTTATCACCGCCTTGCTCAGCTCTTCGAAATTGTGACTCGTCACTGGTTCGGGGTAGGTCAGTTTCTTTGCGAAAACAAGAGGTACACCGATTTCGTTGGTTTCGATGTTCGGATCGGGCGATATTACACTGCGAGCAGCGAAGTTGACGCGCTTCCCCATCATGTGCATTCGGAAAAGGCCCTCCTTCTTCTCCAGGACTTGCTTTATGCCTTGGTCGGTTGGCCGGCCTGAAGCAGGTGTAGGGGAATCTATCAGCGCATTTACTGCCTCTTGGAGGACAATTGCGGCTTGCAAGCTCTCGTTCAAGTTCCTTGGTCTAACCGTTGGGTCGATCTTTGCTCTTTTCGACTCCCGTGAGATGCGCTGAACATCACCAGCCGCCTTGATGATTTTGTTCAGAACCGTATTTAGTTGATTCTCCAGCATTTGATTAGGTCCATGCCTAGCCAAAGGTCGAAATCTGTTCGGCGGAACAAGAATCGCGGTGACAAAAAACATGTCCGGAGATACGCGAACCGTTTTTCGACCGGGCTGAGATGCATACAACAGCTGGAGGACTTCCTGCTCCCGGTCAAACAGTAGGGTCAGGGCAGCATGTATCTCGCTCGTTGTCATGTATGCTTGTACGTCGTCCTCATCCTCGATGTCCGCTTTCTTCGACTTGGATGACGTCTCGAGTGCATTACGCATAGCGATTTCTTCTTCAGCTCCATGTAGTTCTGCATCCTCAACGTCGTCTTGGTCGGACATCTCGATATCCTCGTCATGATGTCCGTTGACCAGGGCGGTCTTTTTGACCTCATCTCTCTGAGTCTGTTCGGAGTGGAGAAACAGGAGAGGGTTTGGCGCCTTTTTCCCAAGGACATACATGGCTTCCTTTTGCTTCTTTGCTAGCGGCAGTCTGAAGATCTTGACGCTCCTATCTTTTCTATAGGAGATGCTGGCACCACCGCAGTTGGCGCATTTCTTTAGATTGGGGACCTCCTTGAGGAAAGAGGCGATTACATGCTTTCGGGCAGCGATAGCGATAGTGTTTCGGACCAGAGCCTGGTCATCGATCCGTTTCTCTCTTCGCGCCAATTTGATGGCACGCGTTGTCATTCTCGTTCTCCGATCAATAAGCTCCGCAATATCTTCCTCTGGTTCGATTTCCGCCACATCTTCAACCATCTGGTCTGGTCCAGTCTTCCTCGGTATCTTTGGCAGTCCTCCTCTGAGGTGAATATTCTGTATAGTGTGGTAATCCTCCACCAACCCATATTGCAACAACCGAAGGGAGCACACCGTTTGATTGACAAAGTTCTCTGCAGCTTTGAAGCGATGACAGTAGGCACATTTCGCTCGGAGAAGGCGTAGAGTAGAGTCAATGTATTGTGGATGATAGCAAGTGACAGGAAGTTCAATATGTCCGCAGTGCCCGGTACAGTGGATCGCATTCATGCGACAAGTAGAGCAGCTGAAGATGTTAGCACCGAAGCTAGCGCAAACGGTCGAGGACTTACTTTGCATCCAGAGCCTGGATGGCACCCAGGGCAGGGTCATGCAGACCTCCTGGAACTGGACCAAACATAGAATCCAGCGCTGGAGTGACATGGATTCGCTTGACGGAGATCTTTCTGATCTCGTCGGACTGGAGACGGGAAAAGGCCAGGCCGCCGGTGGCCGCAGGAATTGGTTTGACGTATCCTGCCATTGCGCATCAAAGCCATAACACGGCGGTGACAGTGAACCTGGCGAGAGGAATGTCGGCGGTAGGCGTGCACTCCTCTTATCCTTCAATTGCGCCAATATTTCCTGCTGCGGGGATATTTTTTTTTCTACAAAATATTGGAGTTCGCGCTACGGCGGAGTAGACGGCTCTGTACGCTGTAGTACTGTGGAGTATTTAGTGCTCTCGCGCTATTCTTGATCGTCTCCACCTTACCTCCCCAAAAGGGAAATTAGTCGAATACGAATACGCATTGGGTCTTGGTCCGAGAATTCTTGCTGCCTGAGTCCCTACAATGTTATAAGCTAGACAGTGTTCAACACTCTTCTTTGCTCAAATTCAATGAGCACTAACGGTCGCATCTCTTTTCAAGCACGGGCTATATCCATGCTGTCGCGTTGGCACAACATGTTCAAGGTCGGGCTTCCCTGGAAGGCTGCCCCAACAAGCCGCGTTGTCCACATTGCTCAAGTTATTTTACAATTCACATTTGCTATAACTGCCATTGCTCTCAATGCTTCAGACATAGCCAATGGCCCCACAAATACAGGTGTTTCGGTAGGTTTCCCGGGGATGAACCTTTGATACCTGATATTCCTGACACACACTTGTACCTGCAGGTCTACGCCATCGCCATCGCCTCTTTATCTGCCCTGACAGCGTTGGTGTTCGCGATCGACATCGTCTTCCCATTTCCCAGTCGGCTGTGGCTGCTGTGGGTTCTGTTCTGGCAATGGGTCCTCACTTTTGCCTGGGTGGGGGTGATTGCATCGTTTGGCGGCAGGTATTTTGAGAGCCAATCCACGCATATTGAAGCCGCCGCTGCATTTAACATTATCAATATGCTGCTATGGCTTACGGGCTCTGTCTTCGGCACGATTACAATGTGCTTTAGAAGGAAGCTGGGTGGCAAAAACCCAGACGAGGCGGAGTCATCCCATGATCTCTCTGAGCGCAATTGCTGAGTCGGACCACTACGCCTTGTGGCCGACAATCAGAGGGGATGTCATTTGGGATGTAATCGATGTTGAACTCGCCTTAAGCCTGGCGGAGAGCATACACGACCTACTCTGTGCTTTTACCGAGTGAATTGAAGCTTCCGGAGCAAGACATCTTCGGAGAATCGACAAATCGTAACATATCTTCTCCTCCCTTCGGTAATGAAAGGATATTCGCGGTACTAGGGCAATAGCTTTCCGAGACATAGCTATGTCGCATGGCCCGAAGGCAGTGAAGAAAGCGTCGACCATACAGTGGACGCTCGTCATGCAGTCCGGGCCCGACATGAACCACCGCGACGTCCGCCACCACCGCGTAGAACATCGCAAGGACGCTGGAGAACGTAGATGAATGACTTTCAAAGGGTTCAGCGCTTACAATACAAAGGATGGGAATTCGACTCAAAACCCCCAGGAGAGGATTGATCTAAACGGCAAAGTCCCTATCACTTGGCCCCCATTCCTCCCGAAGGCACTACGGAGGCGTTCACCAAGAGTCATGATTGCGGGGCAGAACCATCGGGACGAAGTTCCTTACACCCTTCAGTCAGAAGCCCAGAGAATCTACGAGGTCATTGTCGCAGACCCTCGTCTTAACCTCCCGGAGGAAGTGAAACGATGGAAAGATCACGTCCAATTTACTGGGGATGAAACGGATCCTTTCTTCCCTGTTCCGTTCAAAGCAGCAGAATCCCAAGCTGGTCTCCTTGGCTACATTGGACTTTTGGCTCTTGCCATCGCTCAAGATCGATATGGAATTGAGCAAGAGTGTCACATTGATGTTTCGCAGGCCTTGCTCAATGGACTCGGCGCTCTGTTCGTCCGCCATGAGAGCGAATGGTTATCTGGCAGTCCGAAGATGATGGCCGCTGTCCAGCGCTGGGATCACGGTATGACCCGAGAGCTTTATCGACAGCTGGGCACAAACATATACAAGTCGAAAGATGGACGATGGTACTCTCTCCACGGCAACATGAATCCCACGCCACTCTTGGAGATGCTGAACGTTCCACAGCACGATGAGAAGAACTTGACCTGGCCACAAATCATCGAAATGTACAGCAACGTCGTCGGGACCATTGACTCAAAGGTTCTCGACAACTGGAGTAACAACGTCTATCGAACTCCCGGCACAGTATGCCTCGAAAAGGAAGAGTTCGAATCCACTCCTCAGGTAATGCTGCTCGAACAAAGCTCTCACGATCTATCTCAGCTGACCGCTCACAGGGTAAAGCAATAAAAGATGAACCATACTACAACTTGATTCCACAAACGCATTATACCCAACCTGCCGTGTCCTGGGACCAAGTGCCTGTCGACCCCTCCGACCGTAGACCGCTGTCTGGAATTAAAGTCCTGGACCTTTCACGCGCGATTGCCGCGCCCACCATTGGCCGCGTCTGCGCAGCTTTGGGGGCGACTGTTATCCGTGTGTCCTGCGTAAAGAACACCGAGCTGCCCATCACACTCATTGACGGTTGTATTGGCAAGACCAGTGTCGACATCGACCTCAAGACCTTCGAGGGGAGAAAGAAGCTGCTCGAGCTAATCGAGGAGGCTGATGTTTTCATTGACGGCTATCGTCCTGCCGTAATGGAACATCTCGGTTTTGGCCGCGACGCCGTGCTGGGTTTGGTGGCGAATCGAGATCGAGGCCTTATTTATTGCCAGGAAAATTGCTACGGCTGGAAAGGCCCGTGGGTCACAAGACCAGGCTGGGCACAGATCGCTGATACTGTGTGTCAGAATGCTTCCTTGATTGTTTCCTCCTTGCTAACCCCGACGTCCAGGTTTGCGGTGTTGGTCTTGACATTGGCCGATTCCACGGATACGACGAGCCACACATCTTCCCCGGCCCGAATGCCGACTACCTGACAGGCCATGCTGGCGCCGCCGGGGTCCTACATGGTCTCTATCTGCGCAGTCGCCAAGGGGGATCGTACGTGGTCCAATGCTCGCTCGTCGTCGCGAACATGCAAATGCAGTCTTACGGCAAGTACACAGAAGAACAGCAGACGGCACTGAAAGCTCGCAATAAAGACTTGATTGGCAAAATCCGTCACTACGACGAGATTGTCAGCCACGGGAAGAACCAAAACGTGATCAGGGGTTTCATCGCCGACAGGACGTTCGACAAGGCCCTCAAAAAGGACTACTACCAGAGAGTAGATGGCAGCATGTGGGGGCTGGGTGACTTGGATCTGGTGAAGTTGGCGTTGGAGTTCCAGCCCTCCGAAGGTACTGGGGGCTCTGAAGCAATGAGGACTGACTGGCTTGTTGGGCCTTGTCCGCCGGGATATCATCAACCACAATGGGAGAGGAAGGAAAACAAGGACTTCGAGCCAATCCAGCCAACAGCAGATGGTCTGAAGAAGGAGAAGAATGTTTAATAACACCCCAGGAAGAAACAACATTGAGCGAACATGATCCAGGCTCTAACCCGATCATGTCGCGACGTATGCCGGGCATTGGGACTCTTAGGTATATTGCTAAGGCCAGTAACTTGCTGGCTGAAGTATGAGTAGAGACCTCTACTGCGACGAGTCCAGATAGTGCCGCAGTATCCGGAATAGACCTTTCGGCACCCTGCTGTGAATATTCATCACCATCGTATTCGGGGGATAGTATACGTAGAGACCATCTGTCAACCGGTGATGCCAGCCCTGAACTCTTTTGTCACCCTCTACACAAGGCTGTCGGATCGGACAATAACCACAACTTGCTCCGAGGGCAACAAATCACATCTGCCCGACTTGGTGTAGCAACCCTTACCAAATGTCCTCTTGTTAGGAGTATGAAAGACAAAGGCTGGGTCTTCCTCCTTTCCCACTTCCAGATTGCCTAACAAGATCTCATTCAATCGGGCCACACAGTCGACATGTCAAATTGTTGTCAAGTAGGCAAGGCTGCCCCAGGTGCGTATCTCTCACCGTATACCAGGGGGCTCAATGCCTCACTCCCCATGGTCGTGTCTATTGGTTGTAACATGTCACGGGTGATTGACACTCGTTTATGGATAGACTCCTACGTCCCTCTCGGACAATATGCCGCCTTGGGCGTCGTCGACTGCTACGTCAGTGGCAACGAGCCGGACTCACCAGGCACTCAAGGACTACTGTTGCTATTGCCTGATGGATTCGGCCTGGCCAAGCACAATCTCATCCTGGCAGATAACTTTGCCAAAGAAGGATGGCGTGTGGTGATTCCAGACTATTTCGAAGGTGAGCCCATTCATCCCCTCCCCAGCTTCACTCATCATGGCTCTCATGCACGGCCAGGTGACCCGTTGCCGATTCAGTTTCTCAAGCAAGATCGCTCCTTGTCAATCGAGGAGCAGCCGTGGCCTGAAGAAGAAAAGCAGATCCTACGCGACCTGGACTTTCCAGCCTGGCTGCAACGACATGACCATGCAAGGGTCTCTGCTCTTCTCGGCAAGTTGACCAGCCATCTCAGAGACCAGTATCCCGACTCCGCAGTTGTCGGGGTAGGGTACTGCTTTGGGGGTAAACACGTGTTGAGACTGAGCAAGAATGTATTGCACGCGGCCGCTTCCTTCCACCCTAGCTTCGTGGAAGCAGAGGACCTGGACGGCATTCAGGCGCCGCTCTACATCGGCCTGGCGGAGGAAGACGACATGGTCCCTGCCTCACTGCCTAACGACCTCCACGAGTGGGCAAGCAGCAGGATCGGGCCCAGAGTGCCGTTCAAGATTGAAAGCTATCCGCGGATGGGCCATGGATTCGCCGCTCGACCGGATACCGAGGACAAGGATGTTCGGGAGCAGTATCAAAAGGCGTTTGTTCGAACACTCGAGCATTTTAGGGAGTTTGTCTCAGACAAAATGGTAGACTAGGACGAAGAGTCAATATCTTCTGATATCTCTTGACAACACCACTCTGACCATAAGAACGCATCTTCACACCCTTGAGCTACTGGAACTATTGGCAGCGAGTTTCAGAGATATCATTGCATACTTGTGTACTAAGTCCCTAGATACCATTTTGCCACAGCATTGCAGAGCTACATCCCCTCAATCTGCACCTTGCTCACCGGCTTCTCAATGACCTCCCACTGGTCCCAACGAATCTTGCTCAACATGCGCCGGAACTGCCACCACGTCCAGGGCATGGTGAAGGTATTCCACCCGTCATCGTTCTTGTAGTACGTGACACAGTCCGGACGGGCCCAGACAAACGTCCCCGTCTGCCTGCGCTGGACCTCGAGGTTGTATTCGTGCTCAAAATCTCGCCGTGGATGGATCGCCAGCTTGACGCCTCTCTTCTGCCTCAGGACCGCCTCCTTGACGACCTTGGCCGCGAACCGCGCTTGTCGCTCCCAGTTGTCCTGCTGCGAGGACCAGACGTGGGCCGAGTTCGGACCAAAGCAGTAGAACATGTTGGGGAATTGGCTGGTTGCCAGGCCGTAGAGAGCTTCGGGATGTTCTTTCCATTTGACCTGGAGATCGAGCCCGTTGAGGCCCGTCACCTTTTCGTGCTCGAGGAATTGGGCGACGTTGAAGCCCGTGCCGAAGATGATGATGTCGTACTCCCGCTCCGTCTCCTTGCCGGTCGACTTGTCCCTGGACAACACACCCTTTTCGGTGTACCGGACAAGGTCTTCTCTCAACACCGTGCAGTTCTTTTTTGCCAAAGAGGAATAAAACTTGTCGAGGTGGAGCGGTCGTTTACAGAAAACTTCTCAAGATTCAGTACCTACTGAGCACGATCGGAGACGGTACAGGGGTTCGAATATCACTTACACTTTGAATGAGGTCGGACTTTCTCCCGCAGTTCTGGGTCCGAAATCTGTGACTCCATGTACCTGATGGCTTCCTCGGTCATCTTGTCATTCATGGGGTCGCCGTCTGTGGCCATCGGGCGACATTCCCGCATCATCTCCAGGTTCATGTAAGTCCTGACCACCCACGCAAACAAGGGTATCCATTTCAGGGCCCACCGGAAGAGACTATTGAGCACTCAGCACTTGTTTATGACGCTGGTTACTGGGAAGAACATACCCCGAGTACGCAAAATCACCTCTTGCAACACAGACCGGCGGGGTCCGCATATACACAGTCAGATGCTCAGGTTTGTCGATGATCTCGGGCAGAAGCTGTGCTGCGCTCGGCCCACAGCCAATGATGGCCACCTTCTTACCGGTGAGGTCGACGTCGTGCCTCCAGTGGGCAGTGTGCCAGGAGATGCCCTTGAAGTTCTCTCTGCCAGGAGTGTTGCCCCATTTCGGTCGATCAAGACTTCCAATGCATTGACAGACAAAGTCGGCGATCCAATGCTCAGTCTGGCCAGTCCGTTTGTTCGACACTGCCACATGCCACACCATCAGGTCCTCGTCCCACGCGCAGGATCTGACAAAGCTCTGGAACTGGGTGCACTTGTCAAGACCATATTGGAGGGCAAAGTTGGTATAATACTCCTCGATCTGTGCTCTTTCCGCGTAGAAGTGAGTGTAATCTGCGACCGTTAGCATTCCCGACCCGGATTTATTTGTGAGAGAGGACTAACTGACTTTTATTGATGTGATAAGAAGTCGTATAGATCATTGCGGGAACGTCGCATGCACAGCCAGGGTACTTGTTCTTCTGCCAGACGCCGCCGTAGGCGTCGAGTGCATCCAGGATCTGGATGTCGCCATGTTTGACGTAGCCATCCTTCAGGAGGACGGTCGCTTGCTGGATTCCGTTGATGCCTGCCCCGACAATGATGACTTTCTTGCGACGGTTCAAGGGAACGGAACTCGCAGGGCCAAAGATCGCCTCGCCTTGCCCATCCTTGCCGAACCCGGTGAATTCGCCATACTCGTCACCTCCAACTGTGCCTTTGTCGAAAGTCTTGACGAGCTGTGGTGTCAGGTTTGGTGGCGTTTCACCAGACCCGATCTTGGAGTCGACCCCGATCATGATAGAAGCTGTGCAGTTACCCTCTGAAGTCCTTTTGATTGTGGACTTTTGCTGAGTGGTAACCCTCGTGTTCGATCTTGTTGACTGGAAACAGCCGCCCAATATGGGAATTCGTCGAGACCTTGAGTCTGGTCTATACTTCGCAGGTGGCGACAAGGTCAACTGCTCATGCTCGGTCCGACAGGTGTGCTCTTGTGTGGCAATCGTTGCGGGAGAGGTAGACCACCGGGACCAATACTTGCCACCACTGGTGGTACCGACTCGAGAAAATGATGAAGTGACCGGTTGCTTCTGAGTCCAGTACCAGACGGATATGGTCAAAGATGAGTCTAAAATACGGGTGTCATTGTTTTGAGCCCAGGCCTATAGAGAAGGGAAGCCGTGTGTGGTCAACTCCGGACCCGATGCCACTTTGTCTCCGAGGAAACATTTCACTCGAACTTGTGGTCTTTGAATTCGTATAGCTTACTATTGACTATGACCTCTCTCTCTGCCGGACTTCTTGTGTTGGGCATGCTGGGGTAAGAAATCCCACAACCCGTCCCCGTGGGCATGGGACACTCCGGGGCTCCCCCCTGACGGCGGACATCCGAATAGATTGACGACTACCAATCTACCACGTTCTCGACTTCTTGCGGAGACTTTGCGGAGGCCGGAACCATGTACCCCAGACCAGGATCTCGGGGGCCAGGAGCACTTCGGTGGAGGAGTGGAATACAAAATCACTCGGTGGCCTGTGACCCTCAGTCCACCGCCCCTCGAGTTCTTCAAATCACACAACGACTAAGCATATTCGGGGTCAACATCTGTCAAGGATGAAGCGTCTTGCTCTGCACGAGATTGAACATAGTCATGGCACTGTCCAACTGATATCAGGTGATTGTCATCGCCGCGTCCGAGTCTTTCGGTGCTGACTTGTGGGTTTCAGGGGCCACAGCCTTGCAGCACAAGAAGGGGACATCGATTGTGCTCGTCCCTCAACCGAGCCAGAATGACCCCAATGATCCGTTGGTAGATATAATACTCTTGTTCTGGTCATTTTAGACATACTGACGCTTTTCAGAATTGGCCATTTACGAAACGTGTCACAGCCTTTTGGTCGGTGCTGTGGTTGTCCGGCCTGTGCAACTTCTGCATCACAGGACTGGCTCCAGGATTTGGGCAAATCATCGCCGAATTCAACGTCACGCTGACACAGGTGACATGGTTGATCTCAGCTTGCCTCCTTGGAGAGTTCATGGGGTGCTACACGGTGGCTCCTTTCTCGACTCGCTATGGGAAACGCCCCATTTGGCTGCTTACCAGTGTGGTCTTCTTCGTGTGCAATATATGGGCATCCGTGGCAAAGTCATATCCTTCGCTGCTGCTGGCGAGATTCTTTGCGTCATGGGCAGGTGAGTCTAGCAAATCCCTTTTTCCATTCATCTAGGATTCAAGCTGACTGAGGACTTATGTAGCTGGCACCAGCGAGCCGTTGAGCGTGGACACTCTCCATGATCTCTTCTATCTGCACGAGAGAGGTACACAGGCTGGAGTTCAGACCATCTGGCTCAGCTGGGGCAGCTCTTTGGCGCCCGTCATCTGCGGATACCTCATCCAAGCCAAAGGCTGGCGCTGCTTCCATTGGCTCACCAGCATCATGGCCGGGGTTGACCTGATCTTGATCTTCCTCTTTGTCCCCGAAACACAATACCATCGAGATCTCCACAAGGCACTTGACTCGGTCGGGATAGAAGGGAACGAAGAGATGGAGCTAGACGCTCAGAAAGCATCTCCTTCCGGTCTGATGACCATGACCAAGAGTGAAGACGAGACGACGACTGAGATGGTCGAGACGCAGAACCCGACACCAGAGAAGAGGACCTTTCTCCAAGAGCTGAAGCCCTGGTCTCCGGTGCAGAAGGACGTCAATGTGGTGGCCTCCTTCTTGCGGCCCTGGGCTACGTGGTGTTATCCCAGTGTTGTATGGGGTGTCTTTTCATTCTCTATCCACGTTACGTGGTGAGTGCTCGCCTCTCCCTTTCCTTCGTAGGCCTTGAGCAAGGTCCACAGACTGATCACCGAATGATCTCACAGTGTCGTGGTCTTGATAACCATGATCCCCGTCTATTTCGGAGCTCCACCGTACAACTTCTCCATCGGCCAGCAGGGTCTCGTCTATCTGAGCTCGTGTATCGGGAACGCCTTTGGCTCCATCTTCTGTGGCTTCTTGAACGACAAGCTGAGCCAGTGGTCCACGAGACGCAACCACGGCGTCTTTGAGCCCGAGATGCGTCTACCCGTGACCGTTTTTCCTGCATTTCTCGTGCCCGCCGGGCTCTTGATGTTCGGAGTCGGCATCCAGCACGGCACGCACTGGATCGTCCCCGTCATCGGCGTCGGTCTCGTGGGCGTGGCATTGACAGGGATAGGGTCCGTCATCCAACCGTACCTGATGGACAGCTACACGCCCGTTCTGTTCGACTGCCTCGTGGTAAGTGACCCCCCTCCATTGCCAATCTGCCCGTGGGGAGACATGCTGACGAAGCAACTACAGACGTTCAACGGATTCAAGAACTTAGTCTCATTCGCCGTGGGCTTTGCAGTTGTTCCCTGGCTCCAAGCGAACGGATTAGTCGCCGTCTTCTGTATCCTTGCTGCATTGGTCTTTGTCATAGATGCCTCCGTCGTGGTCATCTACATGTATGGGAAGAGGTTGCGCCAGAGAGATTCTCGACTCAAGGTGTTCCACTTCTAGAGGAACGAGCATGAATGGGGCTGGCTGGCTGTGTGTCAGGTACAGAACAAAGTCCTTGACCATGGCATTTTGTTGGAAAATACGTGTCAATTACTCAATCCATCTCAAATGCCTTTGAGAGATAGAGATGTATCTTGATATAGGTCTTTCAATACTCGATAGATCGTCCTTAAAAGCTGGTTTCTCGTCAGCTGAGGCATATGTCAATCAATGAGATTGAGTTGCTATTCATATTATCTTTGGAGCGGCGACTGCTATCACGACTGACTCGACTCTAATCGACCCCATCTCTCTCTCTCTCTCTCGAGAGAGAGAGAGAGAGGGAGACCTGCAGGCATGGATATAATACTTGGTGTGAACCTCTATCTATCATGAGCGTCAATAAGATATGATGTCTGCTGTAGATCCCTTACTGGAACGTCCTAGGCCCCCAAACAGCAGCTTCGAAAGATGGAGATTTGCGCAATATAGTTGTTACTTGTATTTGCACTTTGCACTTTGTACTTTTTAGTTGTGCCTACGGCATCAAGAATCCCCCATTTACCGGAAGACAAGCCCCGGTGATCCAGCCGCTCCGTTCCTCGCAGAGAAAAGCAATCGCATAGGCGATCTCCGACGGCTCGGCCATGCGTGGTCCCATGGGTGTCGCATCGAGGAGAGGCTGGATGTTCTGCAGAAAGTCTGGGCCAGATTGTGTGAAGCCAGCCGTGTTTGTGGGCCCAGGCTCGACGGCGTTGACGGTACATCGATACTTTGGTCCCAATTCCCTACAATGTAATATTCTTAGTCGTGGTATTGCGGGATATTTCTTCGTGGGCCGTGAACGATGAAGGCAAGCGTGTGAGGAACTTACAAGGCCCAGCATCTTGTAAACGATTCAATCATGGCTTTCGTCCCGCCGTAGACCGTAGACCCTCGAAATCCCTGACGCGCACCAACACTGCTCAGGTTGACGATCCGGCTATTGTGTGCGAGATGAGGTAACACGGCTTGAGTGAGCAGAAGCATTCCTCTGACGTTGAGGTCGACTTGTGTGTCCCATTGATCCACGGTAACATCTTCGAGCGGGCGCATGATTGCTATCCCTGCATTATTCACCAGGATGTCGATTGGTCGCCCGACCAAGCAAACTGTTTCGTCGACGAGCCGCTGGGGTCCATCCAGCGTCGACATGTCCGCCTCAATGGCTCGACATTGATCAGCGGCCGTGGCGCCACTCAATTTAATATCTTCCAGGACTTTGTCTGCGTCAGCTTTCTGAGACGGCCAGGGATAATTGACGATAACGAGAGCCCCCCTATAGGCACCGTGTATAGAGAGAGGATTCAATTAGTGGCCTGAAGCAACACCTAGGTTGGTTTACTGCTTACCTCGCTGCCAACTCGAGGCAAGTAGCTGCCCCAATCCCTTTGGCACTGCCACTTACAATAGCAACCTTGCCTTTCATTGTCTGTTCACCCGTCATTTCGAGAAACTGGGATGAAAGCCGTTCTGAGGTACAGAGGATACTCTCTTAGAGAATACCTATCATTGCACCCGCACTACCCAACATGCCATGTTGGTGGCGACCGAGCAACCGTGTACCCTGTTGTGTTGGGTTCTTCCGTCGAGACAAACCCGGGCAACACGGTGTCAAGCATACTCCGAAACTACTCATCGTAGAGTACTCATGCTTAGCCGCCATCTTTACCGAACGAGTGACCAAGTCGCACTCTTAGTCTCCGGAGTTCGGGTAGACCACACTCAACACCGTAGCGCGAGACTAAAATGAAGATAGTGGATAATGATAGGCATGGCAAGGCCCTTCTCCAGCCTGGCCAAGCAGGCCACGGCAATCTGGTGACCCCAAGGTTGGGAACACGAGGCAGAAGGGAAGTAACGAGCTCCTCGATGATGGGTTTTCTCTCCCTTCAATCGGCCTGGTTCCCCTGGGGTCTCCGTATTCGTTTATTCGTTTATTTCGTGGGGTAAAATTTCGAGATGCTTGGCGAAGCTGCATTGTGTGTGGCTATGCAAATATAGAAGGAGCGACCCCGCAACATCCCGTAATGTTCTGGTAAGCACGAGCGTCACAGGTGGTGCAGGTGCGGAAGAGGTTGACAAACGGTCTGGTTCCTCTTCGATCCATGGTTCCACCAAGATTCAGGTGTTGTCATCCTCTTACTGAAGCTCCCATCCTCCTCATTTCAACTCCCTGCAAGAATGCATTTCACCCAGGATGCCACCTGGAGGGATGCGAGGTATCACTGTGCCATCTGTTCGCGCCCGTTCGACCGCAAAGACACATTGGCAAGGCACATGCGCGTCCATGATAAGCATCGCCCAGCGCCCAAGACGAGAAGAAAAGCCTGTCTGTCATGCTCTCAGTCCAAGACTCGATGCAACGGCGAACGACCATCGTGTGCGTCGTGCGCGCGTCGAAGCTTAACCTGCGTCTACGGCGACATGGGTCAGAATCAGGAGAAGTCGAGCGCTTCGCGGCCAAGAGATGGGAGTAATGCGACCTACGACCAGCAGTCTGATGTCTCTCGTGATTTGGGAGATGCCTCAGGGAACGACTTGCTCTCGCCATTGAGCGGACACCCGGCGATCGAACGCAGCACAGATGAAGTTTCCATGGCCAATCTTGACAGCCACAACGGGACTCGGTATCGCAGTGCCGAGTCCAGCATCGGTCCCAATGGCCCCTCTCAAAGCGTGTATGCCACATTCGATGACATGGACTTCACTTCTAACCTTGACTGGATCCTCAAGGACGCGAACGGCGAGGAGTTACTCGGTCCAACGGACTTCTTCGGCTTCCCGGAGTGTTCTGATGGCCAGCTCTCTCAAATTCTATCCCTATCAGCCGCGCCAACTGCGATGGTATCAGCGAGGCATTCTGATGTGGGAGATCAGAATGATGACGAGAACGTGAATGGACATGACTCTGACACCTCTACTGCTTTAGGTGGTCTCCTGACTCCTCAGCCTCAGGAGATGGGAGACTCTGGAGACCCGTGGCCGCTGGACACTCCCCGTCCAACACAGAGTCACATGGCACTGCCAGCTCTGGGTAGCGACGGCCAGGATTTTCACGCCTATGCCAGATTCTTCTCGGTAATGCCGGTCAGCGATCGCACATGGCACGCGCTTCGGAAATGCCTCCTCCTCCCCTTTGAACACAACTCAATACAGTCATTGAACTTGGATCACTTCCCCTGCAGGGAGAAGCTGGACCACTGCATCGACTTATACTTTGCTTACTTTCACCCAACGCTTGACTTGATTCACCAACCGACCTTTGACCCTGGCCGAGACCTGGTGCTGACGTTGGCCATGATCAGTATTGGGGCCTGCTACTCAGACCTCCCCGGAGCCAAGGCATTCTCCATCGTCCTGTCCGAGCTAGTTCGACGGCTGCTCATCTTCATGGCTGAACAGGACCGCCGCTTCGTCCGGACGGGGCCATATCTCACCGCCCAACTCCTTCAGGGCACTCACGGGTACTGCACGGGTAGTGAGCGCCTGTTTGAGCTGAGCGAGTCCGGTCGCAGCACATTGCTGCATCAAGCGAGATGTATGGGTCTGTTCCGGTTCGAGGCATCGTCATTGACCCAGACGGACCTGAGCCTGGAAGACATGTGGCGTCACTGGATCGAAACCGAGAAGTTGCGTCGTCTGGGATGGGTACTATACATGTACGATGCCTCGGTCGCCTATTTGCTGAACAACAGACCCTTCCTGAGTATTGGGGACATTAAGCTCAACCTTCCCGCCTCAGCAGAGGAGTGGGCAGCAGAGACGGCGCAGGCTTGGGCAGCTCTTCACCCGTCAAGGGCGTATCCCGCGAATCCACCTTTGGGGTCGACGATCAGAACACTTTTTGACGGGACACCGAATGCTGTGGAGAACATCACCGATGAAGGACACCGATTTATTGTTGTCCTGACTCTGGTGAGGATGCTGTGGTCGCTGAAAGAGAACCGGTCATCACCTCTCAACGACCTTATCATGCCCGCGCCTTTCGACGACGGTCGAACAGATCTCCTTCGGGCTCTGGACGTCATGTCCGTTTCGATTGTGGCCTTGTCCAAGACCCATACCAAAACGGAGATATTCCGTCTCGTCCATCGCATGCGGTTGATCCATGTGGCTCACATCTACGGCGCGGGCGATTTGATGAACTGGCTGTACCCATACCTCCGCCATGGACCCGAGGCCGAGAATGCCGCGGTGCGGATGAGGCGCTGGGGCAGCGAAGACCCCCAGAGGACGCGAGAAGTGGCATACCACAGCGCACAGGTCCTGGGCCTGATCAGGAACTTCCCCAACTCGATGCCCCTGGAACCCTATCTGATCTTCCACGCCGGCGTCATTCTCTCGTGCGTCGCTCCTCTGCTGCCTTCGAGTCCTTGCTCGACCCAAAATCCGCCACTTCAACTCGACCAGCTCGACCCGGGGGACAACAGCGTTTCCAAGAGGCATTTCTACTGGATCAAAAACGGTGGCAACCCGTGCATCAGCGTCTTCGGCGTGCGCTCGCTCTGCTGCCCAGCTGGACGCCAGGCGGTTCTCGATCAGACGGCCGCGTTGCTGAAACGGCAGAAGGTCTGGGGCATCGCACATAATCTGGAAAAAGTGGTTCTCTCACTACGAAGTCGAGAACAAGATGCAGTATGATGAGGCGGCATCGACCTGAGACAAGTTGTTCTGCTTGGGCTCTATTCGAGGGAACTCCATAGGCAGAAATGGAATCAAATCGATGCGTGCCTGATTTCTTGGAGGCTATGCTGTATTCAAAAAGCTACAGTGGTTACCTTCTCATCATCCCATGCGACCACTTGACCATTGAGGTCCTTGGGGATCCCACTAACTGCCAACCTCGCGAACGAAGTCGCAGGGGCCTCTGGGCGGAGTAACTCCCCATTGGCATGAAGCGACGTCAACCAATTATACTGCTCCGCCGGCATATGGGTTTTGTCTAGACAAACGTACGTATGAGCGAGCGAGCAACACTGGCCAGGGAGGACGGATCATTTCACCACTACACAAAAACTTACGTTCTTGTCGCACCTCTGCCTGCATCCCCGAATCGACAATACCCGGAGTCAGGCACAGGAATTTCACTTGTTCCTCTTCCTTTGCCAGCCCGGCGCAAAGAGAGTTCATGGCTGCTTTTGAGCAGGCGTAGGCCGCCCAGGCGTGATACGGCTGGAGCGAGACACCCGACGAGGTCATGAGCAGATGGCCGTTTGTCTGGCGCAGATACGGCAACGAGAGTTGGATCTGAAAACAGCGTCAGTCACCTACGCAAGATTGCTGGTTGACCAGTTACTCACTGCATGGACCAACCCGAAGAAATTCACATCAAACAGTCTCTTCCACTCTTCGACCGCCGTATCTGCGATGGGCCCGACAGGACGCAAGATTGCCGCGTTCAAAATGACCGCGTCGATCTTTTCTCCCTGGCGAACTGCGGTGTCAATGGCCGATTTATTTGTAGATCGAGTGGACACATCTCCTTGCACCACCGCAAGACGGTCTGGATTCGATACTGCTAGCGTTTCGAGCTCTGATGTTTTAACATCCACCCCAACGATGAGGGAGACAGTCGCCTGTGCCAGCAGAATCTTCGTTATGGCGAGACCGATCCCTGCTCCTGCGCCAGTAACAATACTAGATTCCTGTGTGAGACACGGAGTGTGACGGAAAGAGAGGTTTTGGAGAAGTGTGGATTGAATTACATTACTTTGCCTCCGATGTTGTTTGTGCCCATGGTATTGGTTGATATATGTAAGAGAGTAACAGATGTCAGAACTGGAAAGGGAATCTTATTTCGCGCTTCATATATCTCTCGGGACATGTGGTCTTTCCCGCGTAACCAACGATTGACACTCCGGGCGATTCCACCGAGTAAATCTCCTTGCTTTACAATGCCAATTTCCATCAACATGGCTGATTCGAGATTGAAGTTGAAGCGACAATGCACTCATCTCCACGAAATCACCACCGCAACCTCCGCGACTCCAAGCCACTAGATGAAGACAGGGAGCGCCACCTCCGCGCTGTACGGCGACACCAGAGAACTAAGCTCGCTGGCTCGCTAGGTACGTAGCTCCAGTCGGTCGGGACTCGATTCGGGGGCAACTCGTCGACGGGCATCATGGCTGTTCGCGGCACGGAGCAGTTTACGTATACGTCTCATGGCATGTAGCCACTAGCCTCAACACTACGGTGAACACGAACGAACCATCCGGACTTCGGGGTGGATCTGCAACAGACCATCCCCGGAAATGGGAAGAGGAAGCTTGGGCAGTGACTTGCGGGAGAGCATACGCCATACACCATGCTCCATGCTCCAGAAACCAGAACGCGGGGAGACCGCAAAGGAGGTGGCAAGGGGGGCGGCAAATGGCAAGGAGAATGGGACAGCCCAGGACCAATCGGTCCAATTTGAGACATGCTGGACTCTGGACTCTATACTCCGATCCGAGCTCGGGTGTAACGATGGGTGGCACTCGTGATAAGAAGAGATCCTGCTTGCAGTAGAGCAGAGAGCCGTCAGTGGCTGGGCAGAGCAAGATCTTTGGCACACACACGCACGCACCTATGATGGCTTCAACGGACAAGCTCCTTGAGAGAGAGATTGCTGCTGCTGCAATGGGCGTCTTCCACCGCTATGATGGCGGTATCCGGATTCAGATCTATATCCCCTCCCTGAGCAGACACATTCAGCCTCGCAATATCGTTCTGATCGCAGTCCTGCTCCTCGCCATCACCTGGATCGCGCGCAGAATCTTCAGACGCGATCTCCGCTCGATCCCAGGCCCGTTTCTCGCCTCATTGTCGAATTTCTACCGTCTGGCCATGGTCCTCCGGGGTCAAAGCCAGTGGGAAACGATTGCCCTACACAAAAAGCACGGCCACTACCTACGACTGGGTCCCAACTTCGTGTCGGTCAGCGACCCAGAGGCCTTGCCCATCATCTACGGGATCGCAAAGGGCTTTCGCAAGTCCGACTTCTACACGGCGTTGGACCCGGTGTCGAACGGACGTCTCATGCAGAGCATGTTCGCGACGCAGAGCGACGAGTGGCACCGCATCCAGAGGAAGCCCATCGCCCACGCATACGCCATGTCCACGTTGGTCTCGTACGAGCCACTGGTCGACTCGACCACTGGAATCCTGATGGATGTGGTCGGCAAGAGATTCGCTACGACAGGCCAGACGTGTAATCTGGCCCAGTGGCTGCAGTGGTATGCTTTTGACGTGATGGGTGAAATCACCTTTTCGGAGAGATTTGGATTCCTGGAACAAGGACGCGACATCGGAGATATTTGCCAGGGCATACATCATCATTTCACATACGGGGCTCCAGTAAGTTGCTCTGAAGGATCATCCCTTTTCTCATTCCCACAGAAGTCCTAAAGACCCGCGCAGGTCGGCCAGATCCCTTGGATAGACGTCTTCCTGAGACGGAATCCGCTGCGGCCGAAACGAGAAGTCTCAGATCCAATGGTGGCGTTCACGGCCGACGCAATTGGCAAGCGATTGCAGTCGTCAAACGACGTGGAACAATATCACGACTTTCTATCACGGTTCTTGAACGCAGATGTTGGCCCGGACAGTGACAAAGATGCCCATTTCCGGTAACTACCAAAGTCCATGACAATCAATTAGGATGCTGACCGCGTCCAGGAACGTTCTGAGCTGGTCCGTCAACAACGTCGGTGCGGGCTCTGATACCACCGGGATCAGCCTCACCGCCGTCTTCTATTACCTTCTCACAAATCCGCACAGTTTCCAAGTCCTCCTTGAGGAGATACGCTCGACGAGATTCGCCAGTCACAAGGCGGTGAGTTGGAAAGAGGCGCAGAGCATGCCGTACCTCCAAGCCTGTATCAAGGAGGCACTGCGGCTGCATCCCGCTGTCGGTATGCCTCTGGAGAGAGTGGTCCCCGAGGGAGGAGTGTCTCTTGGTGGGCACTGGCTCAAGGGCGGAACAGTCGTAGGGGTCAACGCTTGGGTGGTGCACCGAAACAAGGATGTATTCGGGCCTGACGCTGAGGTGTGGAATCCCGAACGGTGGATCAAGGCTGATACTGAGCAACTGAAAGCAATGGAGAGAGCGACACTCACGGTGAGTTTAACGAGATTATCATTATTCCCTCGCCTCTCTCTCGATGGAATGGATTCATAACTAACTCTCTACATCGTATCTATCATCTCTACAGTTTGGATCTGGCTCTCGCACATGTCTGGGCAAGAACATTTCCCTGCTCGAGATGTCCAAGCTCGTGCCCCAATTGTTGCGATCATACGAGGTACGTCCAAACAGAGCGTGTACTGGACATCGAGGAAAAGAAGAGAACGTCTAATCTTCAAGCAGATGACCCTCACGACGCCCGGAGAAGAATGGAAGACGCAGAACTTCTGGTTCGTCAAGCCAGACGCTCTGAATGTCAGGTTCAAAGCTATCCAACACGACTAGAAACTAAAGAGGAAGAGGAGAAATATGTTTGCATAGAGATGCAAGGGAGATTGGGAGATGGTATGTCGGCTGTCTTGCGAGGAAGCATATCCAGATTTAATAGGACATTTCCCGTGTGTAAGAGCTAGGCAGGCCACGGCAGGTATCGATGGAAGGCCTTATGGTCAATTTGCCGGGAGTAGTAGTTGCGATAGAAGACTTCGTGACACGAAGAGATGTAGTCTATTTGCGGCGCCTTGGGAGGAACCATTCGTGTTGTTCCGTTTAGATGCCTCCTTGTAAATCTCTCCGTCCCTTCACGACAGTTTCCGTCCATCTCAATACGTTTATCAGAGTAGAATGTGAGCCGCCCTTCACCATGTCTCCTTTTACATTTGTACACAAACCCTCCCTTCACTCAGCTTGTCATTGCTACGCTACAGGCACCCGCGAGAAGATATCCTGTTCCTGACTCCTCGATCCCACGTAGCTGGACATACAGCTGACTCCCCGCCGCCTCTCATCACACTCCCGCAGCCACCTCTTTGTGTTCAGATCGTCTCTCCTTCTCATCCTCCAGCTGCCGGATCTTCGTCTGACCGACCTCTGCAATGTCATCCTGATGGCTCACGGTGATTTCGTGGGTGGTGTGGTCGATGTAGATGTCTTTGGCCTTGATGGCGACCTCGTCCGTCAAGCCAAACACGGTGGCCGTTTCTTCGAGGGGGATAGAGCTTGTCTCTGGGAGAAAGAAGTAAAGGAATACAACACCGCATGCCGTGGTGATGATGAACAACTTTCAGAATGGTTAGTCCTTGACCTTGACAATGCTATTGTCGAGGAAGTACTTACCAGGAAGAACTTCCAACCAACGTGTCGGAAGGCCGTAGGTGCCGTCGTCAAAAGGACAATGTTGGTCAAGGTACACGCACCAATGGCCAGGGCCACCCCCTTGGAGCGCAGGTGGTTGGGGAAGAGCTCGCTGGACACGACGAAGAGACAGACGTCGACGCTGAAGCAGTAGCAGGACTCAAACAGGTACAGGGCCGCCACGCCGACGGCGAGCCCGGCCTTGTTCGTCCCTTCTTGGGCAAAGCAGGCCACCATGGCAGCCTCGAGGGAGATCATGCACGCGCAGCCTGCCAGACCGCTGATCAGGATCAAACGACGTCCCAGTCCATCGACAAGCAGCGACCCAATGATGCTGAAGATGATTGCCGTCGTGATGTAGCCGCACTGGAATCTGACTTGGTCAAACGGACCATATCCTAGAGCGCCGTACAAGCTTGGACCCTGTCACAAACGATATCAGCGCAGGACACACCCAAGTGACCGAGTCAAGGAGTCATACATAGTTATTGACGACAAGATTTCCCGACGTCTGTGCCAGGAAGCCAAGAATGAGCACCAACCCCCCTCGTCGCCGGTGTGTTTTGTGTTTGAGAAATCCAATCCAGGAAGCATCGAGGGTGCAGTCGAGCTCAGCCTGTTGTTGCATCTGGAAAAACTCTGCCCGAGCGTCGTCTTCATGGCCCGGTGCCGCATGCTGCTTCAAGACAACGGCGAGGGCTTCTTCGGATCGGTCCTTCATTAACAGGTACCTTGGCGACTCTGGGATAATAAGCAACGCCGGGAGTAGGATCAGTGGCCAGGCAGCGCCGAGCGCGAGCGGAAGACGCCACTGGATGGTTTCTCCCAGATTGAAGAATGCAGCGCCGAAATACGCAGCTACGGCGTATCCAACTGCTACCCAAACGCCAGTGATGCCCACAGTCAGGCCGCGAGTCTTTGTCGGAGCCAGTTCAGCAACGTAGACAGGCGCTGTTGCGAGGTGTCAGTATCAAGGTCGTGCTCATTGAACAGCAGAGGGTGACACGTACTGATAGACATCTCCATGAAGGCAGCAGCACCCACGAAGAACCTCAGTGCTATAAACATACCAACGTTCTGCGAGGCTGCAGTGATGGCTTGGAATATGGCGCACAATGCCGCCACGATAATGGCGGTTCTCTTCCGTCCGAAACGATCAAGCAGCCAGCTGCCGATGAGCACGCCAACGAACCCGCCAGCCTGGTGATGGTTGAGTGAAATGGCTTTTGGAGCGAAGTGTGCCTACTTACCTGGAATATGCCCGTCGAGGCGCCGATCAAGGCTTCAGAATTTTCAGTAGGATTACCATCCCTGTCAACCAAACCCATGTACACGACGAAGCCTGGGTCGGCCAAAGTGGTGCCAATGACCCCTGAGAGGTAGCCATTCACGAACATGCCAAAGCTCAAGACCATACATGTCCAGAAGTTGAGCCAATTGAAGGGGACTTTGACGCCCTGCGAGTCCATGGTTGGGGACGTTGTCTTGCACAGTGTTATAACGAAAAGGAGCTCTGTCGATTTACCAACCAATATGCCTTGCGACTTCAGCGTCTTGAGTCTCGACTGTTCATATATACACCCTCTACAATTTCACTCCAGATGAACACCTCGGATGACGGCCTCGAGAACGACCGTGGCATGGCCGGGCAGTACGAGGTCAGTACGCCAGGTGTGAAGCTATAGTTCATTGCTGGGATATCACCTTACCACACCAGGCTGGCTAAGTGTCTTTCTTAGCGGTCGAGAGGCTAGACAACTTTCCCGGGGATCTGGGGTCGTGGGGAACACGGTCCCAGCTCTCCAGACACGTGGAGTATTCCTGGGAGTTACGTACGTAAGGCAGAATGATTTATGATGATTGGACACCCTAACAGTGTTAGCATCCAAAAGGGGCTGTCGATGGTTGTTGATCCAGGCCTGCTGAGCACCGTGCTTTGCCGTGATCGAAGACTATCCAGACTACCATCCCAATGCAGCCAGCCACAAACCCCCAAGGAAGACCAGGCCAGAAAGATCAATGGCGACTTCGCCAATCGACGCAGTTCACGCTTTCCCACCAGATCTAAACGCGGAGCGAGGAAAAGCTTGACTCTTGCGGCCGTATGTGTCGGACTCGGCCTGGCCACACACCACTCCGAACTCCGTATATAGAGATCCTAAATCTACCTCCAATGTGTCACAGAAATCAGTCGATGGCAACTATGCTAGAGCAGTGCTGGATCTTGATGGCAATAGCGACGAGATAGTTGACTGGTATTCAGTAGCTCTGAGGCTACAGAAGTCGATATATCAATGCAATGCAATGCAATCTCATAGAAGTTATGCCTAGTATATACCGTACATGCAATGACATGTTCGCATCTACCCCAAAAGCTTCTTCCTCCGTTCTTCAAGCAGATCCAAAACTCCGCGCACCGCGGGTCTCGCGACAAGCTTCTCCAGCCACGCGCTGTACGCACTGTACCGGGACATTGGGATCTTCTTGTCCTTGTCCAGCCACGGCACGAGGACGGCCCAGGTCACGAAGCTCAGGTCGGCGTAGGTGCACTTGTCGCCGACGAGGAAGGGGTGCGTGCGCAGCCACCCGTCCAGCACGGCAATGACCCGCTCGACCTCCCTGAGGTAGCGGTCCTGGGCGCTCGGCAGCGTCTCGTGGTGGTAGTGCGTGAACCAGGCGCACTGGCCGTAGTAGGGGCCCTGGCCCGACACCTGGAAGTGCAGCCACTGGGTGAGCAGGAACTTCTCGGGCGACGAGTGATACGTGATTTTCCCGGCAGCGTCGTACGTCTCGACGAGGTACTGGATGATGGCGCCCGACTCCCAGAGCGTCAACCCGTCGTTGGTATTCGGGTCCGTCAGCGCCGGCACGCGCCCGTTGGGGTTCAGGTCGGTAAAGGGCCTCTTCTTCACGTCCGTCACGTCCAAAAGCTCCGTCTCGTATGGCAGTCCCAACTCCTCGAGGACGATGGCGACTTTGTAGGGGCTTTTTCATTGCGCTTGTCAGTAAAAAGAACACTGGGACAGATATTGTTGCTGTTTGATGGGTGGGAAAGTCGACTCACTTTGGGCCACCGGCCGTGGAGTACAGTTTGAGCTTTTTCAATGGCGTCTGCATTGCTGTTGGCGGTCTGGTGACAGTGACAGTAACAACGTCGGCGTGTTCTTGTCCTTTTGCGTGAGGTTTTGAGGCCGCTTCGGATTTATACTGAGTCTTCGTTGATGTCAGTCTCAGCGTGCAAACATCATCAAACACAGACAGAGAGGGAGACACCGCACCCGAGTGCGACCCTCTTCACTGACCACGAAACTGACAAATGTCCCAATCCTCCAGGTGGTCCCTCTAAAGTCCTTTCGCACGTAAACTCTTGATTTCACGCTTAGTTTGTTGGTAACGAAATCTCTGCACAGTAAGTGTCACAAAAAAAAAACGGTCGCATAAACAAGGCGGCACAAGTCGGCAAACGCCCTTTGGCCGGCTTCGAGAGACTAACGGTAATAGCCGGCGACCTACATGGGTCCCGGGTTTATGGAGGAGTCGCTGTGAAGCCATGGAAATGTAAACGAGTTATACTGCAAGATCACGTTTGGCAAGTCTGTTCAAATATATATCAAACGAGCCCAAAAAATACCCATCAAAGGGGTTGCCAGAGTATCTCATTGTACAGTTTGCGCGAATAGTTACAAAAACCTCCAGCCCTCAATGTCTACATTCCAGATCGACGAAAATCAATTGAAGGCGCTCAAGGGAAAAGTTGCCGTCTTGACAGGTATAAAACCCAGGCTAGGGCTTAGTGATATATATTACCTGGAATTCTCACCGTTGACTATGTATAGGTTCTTCATCCGGCATTGGCCTGGAGACACTCAAGCTCTTTGTGGAGAATGGTGCGACGGTGGTGAATGCGGATCTCAAGCCGCCGACCGGCGAATACCCCAACACGACCTTCATCAAGACTGATGTCACCAAGTGGGAGGACCTCCGGAATCTGTTCCAGGAGACTGTGAAGAGATTTGGCCGTGTGGACGTCACGTTTGCGAATGCTGGTGAGCTCGACACTTGACAAGGGGACGCAGTGGGCCAGGCGACGAAGAGCACCTAACGGTATATAGGGGTCGCCACAATCGCAGATTACTTCGACCTTCAAGTGGATGACCAGGGGCAACCGAAGGAGCCGTCTCGGCTGTGCTATGAAATCAATGTTATCGGGTTGATCAACACCGTCACTCTAGCCATATGGCACATGGCACGGCAAGAAACGGGCGGAAGCATCATCCTCACAGCCTCGGCGACAAGCAAGTGCCAACACTCCCTGATATAACAGCGGCTCGGCTACTAACAGTGAATTGACAGGTTACATGACCTTTGGAGCGACCGACTATAGTAAGGACATGCATGCCCGCACTTTACGAAACAAACTAACCTCGATTTCTCCCAGCAACGTCCAAACACAGCGTTCTGGGATTCCAAAGAGGCGTCCTCCCTCAGCTCCGCGTGCGCAAGCTCGACAAGATCCGCCTCAACAGCATCGCCCCCAACTGGACGCGGACCAATCTCCTCGACGCCCAGTGGCTGGAGAGCATCGGGGTCAAATTCCAGGACCCGAGCGCCGTGGCGCGGGCGGTGGGCTTGCTCGCCGCGGACGAAGCCCGCAACGGCCAGGTGATATACATAGAGAACGGGGATTATCGGGAGATCGAGAAGGATGCGTTGGCGTGCAGCTTTCAGCTGTGCAATACCCTGGCCGAGGGGAATAGCCATGCACAGGACGACGAGGTCTTTGAGGAGATCTTCAAGAATGGACAGGGGAGGAAGATATAAAATAAAAAGGTGATGGGACAGTGTAGCCGGACAGAATGCACAGTCTAAAGCAGGATATAATGCCTAAATGAAAAGAATGAAAGCCCTGCCAGAACCAGGTTTCGCGAGGCTGAGGTACTCCAGGGCTGAGGTTTCGCACAAGGCGGCGACGTTCATTTCTAAAAAGGCTTAGCCTGATCTCGACCTGCGTACTTACCTCTCTTCTGACCTTCGACCGACCCCGACTTACCGTCGCCTTCACCGGCTCTGTTCCTCCTGCGTTTTCCGCATCGACGCGCTCCCCTTTTCCTCTGACCCGGGTCTAAACTCATTGGTGCTCAATAATGACCACTTCTGGGGCTGTACCGATCCCTTCTCGGCCGCTGGTGGCTAGCGTTCCTCCTTTCCTCTCAGGAGCAGAGAATGGGAAATGGTCTCTACCTGGGTGCGTGAGCTGTGAAGACTTCTTCCTACTCCTCGTGTTACCTTGTCGCTACTGTGACCGTCGTTACTCCCAGCTAGATCCAGGCTCCGCATTGTCCGGTTCTTACTACTTCTGTCAAGCCGTCCACGATCCTCAATCGCCTTCCACTTCTACCCTACGACTGCGATGAGTGGTGGGCTCGCACACAGGTCAACGACACTAGAAGGGCGTGCGTTCAGAAGCCGACAAGATCCGTGGCGGGGAGAAGCATGTCTCCAAGAGACCAGGATCGAACTCTATGACGCTCAATCCAGTGAGACAGGTGTGCTCAGCTCTTCTAATGATGGCCCTGACCTTGTGGCTCTATATGACACCTAGGAGCCGCGAGAGTAGAGTACAAGCGCCTGGGGCTTCCTCCGGACGAAGAGACCATCCCTAGCTAGCACCTCAGCACAGGTGCACCGCCGCCTGATCTCGTAAATGCAAAGGATTTTCTGCGATTCGACATCGCCACCAATCACCCTTTCAACAAGAAAGTCCCGACCGCCGACACCACTTTTGCCGTGGGAGAGTGGCTCTTTACCGGCTTTAGGATTGTCCCTTGTAGCTTCGGGGGCCGGTCAAGGGTGACTGTTCTAGATGCTGGTCTTGGTGTTGTGCTGCCTCAGTAGATCTTACTATTCGTCCAATGTTCGAACTCGTAGCCGGAGAGATCCAGGGGCCGGTGCCATTGGATAACTAAGGAGGCACGGCAGGTTCCTAAATGTCCACTCCCACTTGCAGGTAGGGAAGTTGCCATCTTTCAGACTAGGCTGTGACAATCAACAGATATCATCCCCTACAAGCAGGCGTGTCAACCTCCGCTGTACAGTGGTGTACGCTATTTGCAACGCCTTGACAGTGGCAAATAGAAAATTAACCCAGCAGCAGTCCCGGCTGCTGCCTGCCTAGTCCTCGATCATGCCCAATGGCGGTCGGGGATATGCAGGCCATGGACGTCTCGCTGACAGCTGGTCAGAGGAGGCCACGCGCATATTAGCATCCATTGGCTGATTAATTAGTATGTAGGAGTGGGCAGTTGTTTGTCTGGATATGTCCTACAAGGGTGTTGCCGCGTTCTCCTGCGCTCTTGCGGTGATGATCAAAAGTTCAATCTTCGTTCATGAGAGGTCATTGACGCCCGATACATGACCCAGGTGCGACATAGATAATATATAAACCCTTGAGCAGCCACAGGAAGGAGCTGTTAATTTATCATCCTCTCACATCTGGAAAACAACAATCAAGGTTTCAGACGTCATACAGCAACGAAAAAGGTATCTGAGAAACATCCCGTTGCCCTACAGCAACTGATGTCAAACAGTGCGCATTACACATTGGCTGGATGTGTAAACGACAATTCAGTCGGCAGAAGGGTATATGTCAGCACTGGCTGGAACGCGATGGTCCTGGTCACTTAGTTCCCGCAGATGGATGTGGCAGGTGTGGCGTGGAAAAAGGAACGTCAAACAACTATGCGTCAGGCACCAAGCGGTGGCCCTGCGAAGATTGCAAAGCAAATGGGACTTGGAAACAGGAAGGCAATAGATGGGTAAAAGCTAAGCAGCAGAGGATCGAGAATCTCTGTGAAGCTGAGGTGCCTTGACACGAGCATGTGTACAACGTGGGAAACTTTGGAAAACTTGCCATTTTGAGTTACACACTCTTTAAATCGTCGATCACGTGCTTCTTCCAGCCCTGCGTTTGGGCGGAGCACGGGCTTAAATAGCGCAAACCATAAACCCCCTGGATCCATCTGGCTGCCTTCCTCCGTTCCCTTCATCAACCTCATTGACTTGACACATAACTACCGAGTACTACACCGCCCATTCGTCAGTTCTGTACTGCCGTGGTGTGATATCCTGCAATCCCCTCCTATTCGGCGATTGTCGCTGATTCGTCTCATATTCTCTGTTGTTCACTTTCTCATACTAATATCTATTCTGAGAACCCATGTCGGACGAGAGCCTTGATCACGTTCCCCCGAAACTTTCAAAGTACGACTGGGTTGGTGAGGGTGCAGTGTGCATCGTCTACCAGGTCCACCCTAGAATCGTTGTCAAACACCCTCTCAAATCAGGATACGAGCAATTCCACCGCGAGGTCCAGTTCTACGGACTTTTAAAGCGAAAATCAATTTGTCGGGATATCGTCGAGTGCTTTCTCCTCCTTCCAAATGCCATCTTTCTCTCCTACTGTGCCGCGGGAAGTCTCAGTCAGCGACTCATGTCACGTCAGATCAGAGAAGACTTGGAAGAATATCCCGGAAGAGTCATCGAGGTTACGGCAAAGGACGATACAGAGTTGATCAGCCGGTGGATGCGGCAACTTACTTCTGCGGCTGCATTTCTCGAGACCATGAACGTCGCCCACAACGATATCCATCCTCGAAATCTGCTTCTCGACCAGTTTCTGGATATGAAGCTGTCAGATTTCGACTCTTACGCCACTGTTGGGGAGGATTTGCCCGGTGCGCCAGCACCGTGGGCACGAGTACTCGCTGACGGACCGGACAAGGGCAGTTTCGGCACCTGTGGACCAAGAACTGAGCAGTTTGCCATCGGGTCTGTGCTCTACATGATGCTCTACGGGCATGAGCCCTACGAGGACATAGCCATGGATCCTGAAGAGGTCGTTGAACGGTTTCAATATATGCGATTCCCAGAGCTAAAGAGAACCCCTCTCGAAGACATCATTCGCGACTGTTGGTTTGGTCACTTCCCATCGATGCGTGCACTGCAGTCCGCGGTCTTTGCATGCACTGCCGATCTTCCGCTGCAAGCAAGTTTGGGCAAAGCGGACAGCGCCGAAGAAGTGGGTTTGTGTAAAGAGCTTGTTCGGTCTGGTCTTTTGGATTGCGGCCCGGGCCCTTGTTTCCTGGAGACATGGCGCGGCGGCCATATCCAACCATCACCTTGTTAGAGATGCCTCCAATACAAGGGAGTCAGTTGTTCCCGGGGACAAAGGTGATGGCAAGCGTTCCCTTAAAACGCTATAGATCTCACAATGTCGTGGCTCACGATTTGGGTACGCGCCGAAGCTGCGCAAACGAAGTTTCCTACATGGGCGAGTATTTCTGCATTGGTGGCACGTTTGGATCATGTGGCGCAATGAAGAAGGATTTGAATTACATTTGGTGTTTAAAAGACGCAGAAAACCATGCTTCCGGAACCCGTCGCCGGCTCTCGCCTCGTGCTGTCTGCCTTCAGTCCCGTGTAGCTTCAATCTCCTCTTCTCGTATGGTCCCAGGAGTTCACTGCCACTCCTCGCGTCTGGTCTATCACCTATATGCCAACTCAGAGGGCATTTCTTAGTTGCGTGGTAGATGGAGACCTCTCACCTCGGCATTGGTGCTCATTCCAGCTGTGGATATTTCATTGTTCCCCTCGCAAGTCAATATTCCTACGAGACGTACGGTAGGGTGGTGCATGTAGAGTACCGCTCCGCTCGCGCCTTATCGCGCACAAAACCTTTGTCGTTATCGTGCCTGGAACCCACCGTACGGTGTAATGTGGCCAGGCAGCATTCGACATCGGCAACGACCTGATATTATCATTGTCGCGAAATCTGCTCGGTCCTTGTCATCAACGCAAAGAATGACTCGCACGGGTCTAAGGCTGTACATCCCTTCCTCCACCCTCTCAAGCGCGGTGGCAGAGACTCTGTATGTGCGATCATAACCGAGCGACTTGATCTCGTTGGGGGTGCAGTAATACCGACCCGTCAGTGTGGTTATACATAGCAACAAAGTCTTTTCCATAATTCTCCCGTAGGCTGGAGACTAAATCACAAGTCGAATGGCCAGATTTCCCTCAAATCCTCCTCCGTTTTGATAGCATCTGGTTCTGTGTTGGCCAGAACCGCCTTCAACATCTCTTCGTACATGTTCCTGTGAGCAGCTTGTGTAACTTCCCATGCCTCCTCAGGAACCCATCCGTCGGATGTAGTGTCAAGTAGCCCCGCTAGATCATACCTCAGATTCTGGGCTGCCTCGAACCTTTGGTACTCTTATCGATGTATAGCTAGTTCTTCCGCCGAAGGTCTGGGAAATGGACAAGTACCCGTAAATCCAAGACTCTCCCAGACCTGCAAAGTCTCGATTAGTTCATGCCGTAAAGCCACAGCCCCGTGCTTCCATGTTCTATGGCAATGTCGAATGGGTCGGAACAAAGCCTCATCCATTGATCTGGGCCGCGACAGCTTGGGGACCAGATATTGAGTACAATGGTCAAAAGCTTTGGCGCACCCCTCGTCATCGGATGCTCCAAAGTCTGGTGGCTCGTCGCATACCAGAACACTGGCTCCAGACTAGCTGATTGCCAATCAATAATGTCAGTCACAACAAAGGGATCATCCTCCAAGACAAATATGTTCCGTTTGTGCAAGTCAGGATGAAGCAATGTTGGTGCAGCCACATATGTGCAGCTGCGCTAGTCAGGCGCAATGTCTCAAAGGTAGGTTGGATGGCCTTTAAGCCTCTCTTAAGTACTCCATTGGCCACGAAGGTAACTGAGTCAGGGTGAATTCGATGCTTCGCGGGTTCTGCAGGCTCGGGCCTTCACACCTCTCGTTCTTGCACAATCTCCGGCGACAATCCACGCTCCTATTCCTCTTATAGGGTGGCGGTGCTGTGTTTAAGGTCATCGAACAGTAGGTAGCGGTTTACAATGTACTGTATGGCCGTATTTTAGTCAGCCTACGTCGAGGATATTGTATTTGTGAGCATACGGGTCGATACCTATGTCCTAGAGACTATGATTCGTTTTTAAGGAACTTTCTAGTCTAAGTTTTAGCCCTAATTAACTCCCTATTAATACGAGTATTAGCCTATAGCTAACGTTAGTATTTAAACCGCCGTCTATATACAGCCTATAAAGGTATGCTCCGCCGAACGTCGATCTAGGTTTCCGTGATGGCCTAGTAGAGAATGTCGGCGACGCCTACGCTAGTGCTTATGTTCGAGGAGAGTGGTTTTCGTGCTAGAACCTTCCCTTAGATCTCTTCGGAAACGCAGAAGTTAACCGACTGTCCTTACCCTAATTTTCTCATTCTCATATACGCTTTAGGGAGGTCAGTCGTACCTACAGCGATAAGTCTATAAACTCACCTTAAACTAATCTATCTTTCGTTAAGTTAGGCGGCAAAAGGCGGAATTTAAAGAGGCTCAATTCGTCCCTTCCGGTCTAGGACGGAAAGTTCATCGTCTTCGTTGAAGAATATAACGGCCTGAACCTATTCGTGATCCCGTACTCCCCTAAGCTACTCCCGTATAACTTTAACGTTGCTGAGTTCCAGGATCTAGGCCCCGATATCCAGAATTACTTGCGCGCGGGTGAGACTATCTCTATCACTAAATTTAATAAGCATTTCGCCGTCGACCCCCCGGCCTCCGCCCTAGATAGTATAAGCTGGACGAAATTTTCAGGTCGGAGGAGGCGCTCTAAGACTAATGCGTTCGTGTGCTTCTACTCTAGGAGACCGAGATGCGCCACCCTGAGAGGGAGAGTCGTCCGAGAGTCACTTATCCCGCTAAAGCTACTTGTCGTAAGCGTTTTAATCTAGCCGATGTCCTAGCCGGAAGCGGATAACTTGTGTGGGAATCCTCTCATCTCTTTTGGGGAAACAACGTGCGTCAAAAAGTAATCGATGGTGTTCTTGGAATAGCGGAGCGGAGGAAATACGTGCTCGATACATTGGAGACGGTCCTTCAGATTGATACCACTCAACTGATTGATCGTGTCAAGCTAATGTGTTTCCCGAACAGACCCTTTCGACCACCTACGCCTCTGAAGTCGTCCCCACAGTCCTCAGATCATATGTGACAGCGTATGTCTGTATGTGCTGGGGCGAAGGCATTCTGGAGCAACTTCTGTGCCTGCACTTCGTGGACCGACTTGCTGCCTACGGCGGTGCTGGCGCTCGGATCCCTCCCCACATGTCTACATACAAGCTGTTGGTGATGCTTTGAGTGCGCCAGAGCTGCTTGAAGCCTGGGCTGCACGTATGACCACGCTCCACCGTTCATGGGCTCCTCCTGACACCAGATTACATCGTCTGCACCATGGTACGTGTCCAGCATCGTCGTCACTGCTGACCAAGGGAAAGGATGAAGCTTCTCTAATCGGACCAAGGCTACATCATCATCGATCTGACTCTGCATGCGATACTTCCGAAGAGCAGCGTAGATTTGACCAGAGCAGAGAATGATGCTGCGGACCGCCGCTGGGCTGACCGAGTCATGTATGACTGACCGAAAACGGGACTCGCCCACAAAGTCTTCAATTGGGGATCGAGTGAACGAATGCCTGAGGAGAGACTTGGAGAAGAACATGACGAGCGCTGGAAATATCTCACAGCTCGTTAGCCAATATACGGCAACAAAAAAAAAAAAAAAAAAAAAAAAACGCCCGGCGAGGGACGAGGGGAAAAAAAAGAAGAAAGAGGGGGGGAGAGGGGGAGGCGCGCGAACACACACCGCCGCGGTGCCGGCGCCACGTCGCCACACCCGCACCGGGGGTGGAGGACGGACAGAGCAGGTGCCAACCCCACCCGAGCCTGCGCACTACACCACCACCTGTCGGCGCCCTCTGAGCCCCAGCTACCCACCGCACCAAAAGGCGAAAAAAACACCAGAAGGGGCATGCAGCA